GCGGCGACTTGCTCGGGCCGCTGGGCCCCTGGTGCCTGCACTACTACTGTTTTGGCTCTTGTGAGCGCTGCTAAGGATGACCCCCAGTTAAGGCTCCGTTATGAGCAGTTGATTGCTTTCGCCGACGTCTGGGACGATTTGAATCACCAGATGCGCATGCACGTGGCTCAGACATGGGCTACCATAGCACAGGCCTTCGGACGTGCCAAGCATCGCTGGCAACGAGTTCGGGGCCCTATTGCAGCTGCTGTGGCAGTCCTGATGGATCTCAGGATTGCCCCGATCAGCCCTGTTTGCGCCTGGAAGATGGCGCTGAGCTGAGGATTACCGACAGTCAATTTCCTCACGCTCTGTGGCAGGCGCTTCTGCGAGTTTGTGGCCAGATGTCCTGGTCCGCTGCTTCTGCCCATTACCTTGGATCTGGCTTGGAAGGAGGAGTTGGTTTTATTGTGATTCGGAGATTTCTGAGGAAGCTTGAAAAAGATAACTCGCACGAAGCTGCGGGGATGCTTCGGGGCGTTTTTTGACGGGTGGCTTTTGGACCGAGGATCGCATCGCCCAGTCGGGCTATGATTCCTACACCAGAGGCATTTGCCCTAGGTGTGGTGCTGCGGCCGAAACTGCGGCTCATCTTTTTTGGGGCTGCCCCCGCAGTGCCGATCTGCTGGACAGCTCCATTGACAAAACTAGCCACCTTGTGTCCGAAGCCCTCTCCCAACATGACAGGTGTGCCTTTTGGTTGCGTGGTTTACCCCCCCCCCCCCCCCCTGTTGATTCCGTAGGCCACCTCCCCCCTCCCCGTGCCCTGTCGCGGTCCTGGGGCCGCCTCTTGAATGGGGCTAATGCGCATGGAGGAGTCTGGGGAATCGACGGTGCTGGAGGAAAGCATTATAAAGATTGGCGCCTGCGGAGGTGCGGCTGGGCTGTCGTCCATTTAGGTGTCCATGGACTTTTTGATGGAGTGGCCAGCGGTACCTTGCCTACTAAGATGCAGAACGCTGGCCGAGCTGAACTGTTCGCCTTGGTTGAGCTTGCAAAACGTTCTACTGGTGATATTCGTGTGTATTGCGATAACCTGTCTGTCGTCAAGGGCCCCCGCAAGACCCTCAAGGCCAAGAGGAAATCAGCATCTCTCGACTTGTGGGCCCAATACCATGACGTGATGAAGTCCCGAGGCGGAACGATTGACGTTCGGTGGACGAAAGGACACCCCACCCAGGCCCAATGTCAGGATATGGTTTTAACTGATGCAGAAGTTTACTTAAATATGTCCGCTGATTGTTTCGCGGGAAAAGCCGCTGACGCAGGTGAGATCCCCGAGGAACTTGCGAGGGGGACCCTTCACGCTGATGATATTGCTAGCCTTGTCCTCTGTCGCTTGTTGTCAGTGCAGCGTGAATGCTTGTTTTTGTCCCAGCGTGAACATCCTGAAAGGGTCTCCCGAGAACGTTCCCGGAAGATCCCTGCGTTACAAGAGCGGTGTAATAGATTGAGTGCTCAGGGTCATTATGTGTTGGTTCGCCCCTCTATCCTCAAGTACTCTGTCTGTCATCGCTCTTTCCAGCGGGTAGGCCAGCTGTCCGAATTCTGGCCTAACCCGTGCAAGCCTCGTGCTGTGGTCCAGCAACGAGTTCAACGGCTCCACCCTCGATCCCCTTCCCCTCGAGGCGCTGCGTCCGCAGGCGCCCCAGCCCGTGCGCCTGATGATCTAGGCCCACCGACGGGAGAGGGTGGGGGCGGGGAATCTGCTCTTGACCATCCCTGTGCTGAATTCGCCCACCCCTCCCACCACCTTGCTTGTTTTCGAGGTGTGCTGTATTCTGAAGTTTGCGGGAGGCATTGTGTGGAAGTCCCTCGGGACCTTAAGAATTGTTGTGAGCCTCCCACGAAAGCTGGGAAGGAAGTTTTGTCTCGTCTGAAGCGTGGCCTCCCACCTAAGTCCGGTGGCAAATTTCCTGAGGTCTAATTGTGCGCGAAGCGTGCCCATGCCCCGCAGCAGGCACACACGCCAGGAGATATAATAATAGAATAGAATAGAATCCTCCTCCTCCTCCTCCTCCTCCTCCTCCTCCGTCGCCACTGTTGGCGCAAGGCCCGGCCCGTACAGCACTGCCCGCTTGCCCAGCCTCGCGCGCCCCTCTCCGCGCGCTCTTGGCGAGGCCGCCGTCGCCGGGCGTTGAAGATTGGACCTCCAAGGGGGTCGGAGCCGGCTGGGGCCCGGCTGAGGCGGCCCAGCATCCAAGACTCCCTCGCGTCGTGGAAGAATCACGACGGGAAAGTTTTCGCTCTTTTCGGCCTCCGGGGGCCCTTGCCGGGCCCCGCGGGTGTCAAATTTGAAGTCCCGAAGCGGCAGACCGCGCGGTGACCTCGAGACCCCCCAAGACCTCACCGCACGGTCCGTTACCGCACGGTTTGGGGACCACGGAGGCCCCTCTGGCCCGAGACATCTTCGGAGAGGGACTCGGAAAGGAACTCGAGCCCAAAAACCGTGCGGTGACCCCGAATCCCCACCGACTCACCGCACGGTGTGGTCACCACCCCGTTTGGGGGCCCCCGAGTCAAAAAACTCAGGATGAGAAACCGGTCCCAGGGAAGGGGTCCAGACGTCTGGGGGTCGACGTCATGAGAGAATCATGACATCGGGGGTTTGGGCTTGACTCCGACCAGCACAGAAGGGGCCCCCTCGTCGCCACGGCTGGACGCGGCTCGAGAAGCTTGTCAGCTTCGACCCTATGAGGGGTCCGGGCACCGATTTTGAGCAGGTTTGCCGGCATGCCCCCTCTTGACCGATGGGGCGTAGCTGGCTCAGACCCCCGGGTCGCCTCCGTCAAGGGGGGGGGAGTTCCCCTCGCCACAGGGCGCTTGGGCCCACAGCCAGCCTCCACGCCAGAGGGGGGAGGGACGCGGGGGGAGTAGGTGGAAATTGGGCGGAAGCGATAGGGGTCGCAGGGGATGGCAGGAGAAGGGCCCCTCTTTCCATCCTCCTCAGTCCTGCCACAGAAGATTTATCGGAGACGTGAGGCGCATCAGGCATGGGAGTGTCCACACTTGCTTCGCGCGCAAGTGAGGCGTCCGTGCCCGAACCCGAAGATGATAAAGAGGAGAAGGAGAGAAACGAGAGAGGATAGAGGCAGGAAGGAGTGAGGGGGAAGGAGAAGAGCAGGAAGATGACGATGAGGAAGGGGCGGAGGAGGAGGACGACGATGAGATGGAGGTGGTAGGAGGAGGAGGAGGAGGAGGAGGAGGAGGTGGCAGGAGAGGAGAAGGGGAGGAGAAGGAGGAGGAAGAGGAGGAGGAGATGGAGGAGGAGAAAAAGTAAAAGCTGGCAGGAGAAGGGAGAAGGGAGACAAGGAGAAAAGAAGAAGGAGGAAGAGGAAATGAGGAAGAGGGCGAGGGACAGAGGAGAGGGTGGAGAAGAGAGGGAAGCATGGACGGAAGGCGGGGTGCTGGCGCTCCCGGATGCGTCGGACACGAGCTCGTTTACTCATTTGGTTCCAAAGGGGACCCCAGGGAAAGGAACTTTTGAGACGGGCGATGCCGATTTCTCAAGTCCCGTTCGGCTTCGCCCACAAGGTCGCGGCGCGACGCTTTCGCTCGCTCTTTTTCGAGGACGCCGCGGTCCCAGAAGTCCCGTTCGCTGGCGTCCCCTTAGGGAACGTATCAATTACGCGGCTGGCGGGCAGACCATGAGGCCCTCAGCGGAAGGGCCTGCCTGCGCGCGGGCGGGCGGGCCCCGCGGCAACGCGGTCCCCACGCAGGAAGGGGCGAGCAAGGGGGGCTGCTTGCCCCCTGCTGCCGGGGGCCTCCCGGCTCTCGATGCTCGGGAGCCTTGAGACAGGGGTCACTGCAAACGGGGGTCAGCCGGGCCTGCGCATTGACCCTGGTTTGGGCGCAGGATCTGGTAGGATTTTGCACGAGTTTGCACGGCCTGACTGGCCCGGGTGTGTATTGACCTGGGTCAGAAGATCCCCGAGATACGGGCCTCCTTGAGTGAAGCAGCGGTAATCTTAAGTCGGGCGCGTCCCTCTACAGGAGGAACATTCAAAAGTAGCGCAAAAAATAGTCTGAGGACGACGCTTGGCGTATTTGGGGGCATGTCTTGATTATATGTGGGCTATTTTGTATGTTTTCGTCCACATGTGCCTTTAGGAGGACACGCCCGACCTAACGGTGATCCAAACGCCGTCAAGAAGCCGTGGAACGGACGATACGATTTCACAAGGGTTTCGCTGAAGGGTTCTACAGGCGGTGACAGTCGGTGACAATGGGCCACGGAAGGGCCCCGCAGGAGGAACTGGGAGCCCGAGGACGTTTGGTCTGACAGCCGTTTCGCTCGAGACTCTGCTGCGCTGCTGTCGGGAACCGTGCTCTCGCCGCAGCGCTGGCTACATGCTTGTTCCGGACGGCCACGCTCCCTTGTTACACTCGGCCGCGCGCAGAGGGGGTAGGGGGGGAGGGGGAAAGGTTTCTTAGAGGCACCCCTGCTTCTTAGAAGGTAGGGGCCTTCTCTACAGATGCAAGACTGGCGCCTTCTGAGAAGCAGGCTCCTTCTAAGGAGGCGTCTGCTGGTGCGGTCGTTTCGCCTGAGACTTCCTCACACAACGTATTCAGGAACCGTGCTCTCGATTCAATGACGGCTACATGTTTGGTCCGGACGGCCACGCTTCCTTCCTTGCACCGAAAAAATATAGGGTGCAGAAGGCCGTGATCGCACCCCTGTGTCCTATAGCCGATTTGCTACTAGATCCGCTCTGTTGGAGCCCGGGACCCCATCTTTCCGCTGCATCGTTCGAGCTAGCTTGATCCGCGAGGGTGTCCCCAGGGCCCGGAGCAAGGCAAAATTGCCCGTGGCGACAAGATTGCGACGCCAGGATCTCAGGATACCCGTGGGCTCGTTGAGGCCCGTCGCGGCCTCATCCGGTGCTCTCTGTGCGCTGCCTTGCGCCCCGCCGTGCCAAGGGCCGACGGGCGCTGCCTGTGCGCTGCTCTGCGCCGCCGAGGTGACGCCCGTGCTCGGCGACGGCACGCTGGCAGGCCCAGGCGGTCGATACACAGCAGGCCGGGGCCACGGGGCAAGTCACGGGGAGCGAGGTCGGTCGATCGCGGCACAACAGCAGTCTCTGCGCCGATCATCGGTTGACTCGACCCTGCTCCTCCTCCTGCTCCTCGTCCTCCTCCTCCTCCTCCTCCTCCTCCCCATCCTCCTCCTCCTCTTCCTCCTCCTCCTCCTCCTCCCCATCCTCCTCCCCGTCCTCCTCCTCCTCCTCCTCCTCCTCCTCCTCATCATCATCATCATCATCATCAGCATCATCAGCATCATCATCATCAGCATCATCATCATCATCATCATCATCATCATCATCATCTTTGCCCCGGGGCCAAGGCAAGAACAGGGTGCGCGACCCCTGCCCGCCCGCCCGCCGCAGCAATGAGAGGCACCCAGCACTGAGGCAGGGAGGCCCCAAGGAGCGATTGGGGAGAGGGCGGCGGAGAGGGGGGGGGGGGATCCGAGGAGCGCGCGGTACCGATGTCGCCACCCTTCCCTCGTCGTCGCCTCTCAGGACCTCGGGACGCACCCAGGGAGAGGTCCAGGGAGTAGGGGTGTCCGTATAGATTGGTTTCTCCGAGGGGCGATATTGGATGCTGGATTGGCCTGCCTCTGAGGAGGCAGGTCCGAAGGGAGGGAAGGGGAAGGGGAGTGGGCCAGGAGAGGGGGGAAGGAGGGTTCGGAGGGGAGGGCAGGCGGGGAGGAGGAGAAGGAGGAGGAGACTTCGAGGGTGGAGGGGCGACAACAAAGACGACAAAGATGAGAAGGATAATGACGAGGACGAGGGTGGTGATTGGAACCAGCACGGGGAAAGAGAACAGGAAGGGCCGATGATGGGGAGGAGGAGGAGGAGGAGGAGAAGGAGGAGGCCAATGAAGAGGAGGAGGAGGAGGAGGAGGAGGAGGAGGAAGAGGATATTGCGTGTGCAGAGATGATCGTGAGGAGGCCGACCAGGAGGCTGCGGAGGTAGAGGGAGGAAAGAGGGGCACAGGACGAGGAATGCAATGTCGAGGGAATTAGAAGAGAAAGGAGAGGGTGGATGAAAGGGACCAGGAAAAAAACACAGCTCAGGTCTGCCAGAAGGGAGGAGGGAGAACGTAGGAATTACAGGATGGGGGAGGGAAGCTGATTTGGAAGCAGGATCCTCTGTCTGTTCCACCGCACGACACTGGGGTGACACTGTATCTGGCGAACTGCAGGTGGGCTGGCTCCGGTGCATTCCCACCTCTAGATTGCGCGGACTTCCCTCGGCTTGCGCGGAGGGGCAGAACGCCGAGACCCAAGTGTCGTTGTCTGGGTGCAGGGTTACTTCTGGCACTGCATAGTGGGCACGGGTTCCCGCTCGCGACAACGAGCCAAGGTATTGCATGCAGCTTCCACGAGAGCCGCGCCGGCATGGCATGCCAAGGATCACCACCTGTTGTGGAAGGTGCCGGGCAGGCTGCCACTGGAGCCGCTGATAGATATGGACTCCTTGCCCGGGCACCCGAGTCTCCACACTTGCCGCTGCCATCGCCATCGCGTGGGCGCGGCTTCTGAGAGGGGTCCATGTCAGTTCAACCATACCTTGTCGGTTGGTGGGGCATCACAATGCGCAGCAGGCCATCTCGACCTGATTCCCGAGGTCGGCGCTTGCCCATCGAAGCCATCACGCGGTCAGAAGTCCCGCCGGACCTAGATCGACGGCGCAAGGCTGACTTGCGCCTGCATGAGGTGGCATCGATTTGCGTGGAGCCAGTCAGAAGCGGCGATGATCAGGGCATGGCAGCCTTGGGCCGCGGGCCACACTGGGACGGGAGAAAGACGTGCCGCCAAGAGGAGCAGAAAGCCTGCTCGGAACAGCCGGGCCCCCGTTGGACGGCGAGAGGCGAGCGAGGCCCGCAGGAGGGCGGCCCCGCCGGCCGAGAAGGGCCCCAGCGGCCGTGCAGAAAGCGCATGCGGGCACGAGCCGGCAGAGGCCGCTGGCGCGCGAGGACGCGACTGCCTGCTTGCACGCGCAGAAGTGCGCGGCCAGCGCGGGGCTGCCCGCCGTATGGCGGCCCATCCCGAGCCCGCTCCAGGGCAGCTTGGCTCCCCAGTGTGGCCTGCGCCGCCGCCGAGAGGGGGGAGGGCAGGGGGAGAGAGGGGAGCAGCTCGCGGCTGCGGCGACAGGGCCGTGCCTGGGCACAGCCGAACCGGGGTTATAAGATCGGGGTCGGCTCGGGGTCTTCTTCCCGCCTGCTGGACGCCCGTGGGCGCCCTGGGGAGGGCGCCCTCGGATGCTCCGTGAGTTTTGCCTGGCGGAGGACCTCGCGTTCTCGAGGGAAGCTCCTCTGGCCCAGGTCCGACTGCACCCGAGCCCGTCGGCGGCGACCAGCCGCCCGGGGGCTGCTGCCGCCAAAGTGCGCAGGCGCCTCGCGAGCCAGCGCGGCGCCCGGAGAGCTGCTGCCATCGCAGCCCCGGGCGTCGCGTCGCAGAGGGTAAACACAGGAGCTGAGGGTGCGAGGCGCGGCGAGCGCCAGGAGGAGGAGGAGGAGGAGGAGGAGGAGGAGGAGGAGGAGGAGGAGGAGGAGGAGAGGGAGGAGGGGGAGGAGGAGGGGGAGGGGGGGGAGGAGCGGGAGGGGCAGGAGGAGGGGGAGGAAAGTAAGATGAGGAGGACGAGGAGGAGGAGGAGGAGGAGGAGGAGGAGCAGGAGGAGCAGGGGGGGAGGAGGCGGAGCAGGAAGACGAGAACCACGAGTGCTTCGATGCAATATGTGTTCGCGCGCGCATTCTCGTCATCCTCACCGGCACCGTCGTCATCATGATCGCCAGCGTCATCATTGCCATCGGCATCATCACCATCCTCCACACCATTTCACCATCGCCGCCGTCATCGCCACCATCGTCATCCTCATCGTCGTTGCCACCGCCCTCGTCGACACCGCCACGGCCATCATCATTATCGCTTTCGTCGCTTTTGTCGTCGTCACCATCTCCGCTTGCTCGCCTGAGCCATGGGTCTGTCTTAGAAGGGTAGCCGCTTCACTGAACAAGTTGTGTGTGGAGTGTTTGTTCGAGCAGCGGGGTTTGGCGCTTCCACGGCTCCCGAAACTGAATGCACAACAAAGATTGAACCAGTTTGAGCGCACATACAAAATGCCATAACCCGTTGTCTTGGGCCTAATTACGCTGGCGCGCACATGCTGGGATTATTCCCCGTCGCCCTCCTCTTCTCCTCCCCTTCTCCTCCCCCTCCTCCTCCACCCCCCTCTTCCCCTCCCTCGGGGCTCAGCAGGAGGACGCAGGGGGGGGGATGGATCAAGAAAGTAAGTGGGCGCCCTCCTCCTCGCCACGGCTCGACCTTCCCCAGCCCCCGCCAGGGCCGCACCGCGCAACGGCATCCGCATCCGCCTCCGCATCCACGTCGCTTCTGCGTCCTCCCAGTCCCATCCCCGCGGGAAAGCAGTGCAACGTTTGCAGGTGGTGTCGACGAATCGTCCGAGGGGGCGCTCCCTGGGGGCAGTTTTTCGCTCCGGGCCCGTCTCGGGACGGCCTCGGGGCCAGAGAGCGGCCCTTGGAGGCCAAAGGCGGCGAAGAGCCGAAGGCAACGACAGCAGACAGGTCGATGGCGAAAGTTGCATCGTGATCGTTTCCTTATTCATTGTTTTGCCGATCGGCGCGGGCCCTCGCACCCACTCTCCCCCCCGCCCATGGACTAGATCTTGGCTGTTTGGGGCGCCTGTTTCGAGCAGGGGAGTCTCCCCGACAGGACGCACTGTTGCAAACAGTCGCATTAAGCAGAGGTCCGGGTCCAGACCCCCCCCCTTCCGCCCAGTGTCGAAACGCCGAATAAGAAAACGCTCACATCATTTTTCCAGGGCAGTACATGCCCCCTTCTCCCCCACCCCATCGTCTCCCCCCCTCCGATCCGTCCACTCCCCTCCCGAGCCAGCGAGCACGCTAGAGCTGGCGCATCGCTCCTCACCAGACGCCTCCTGCCTGTGGAAGGCATGTTTTAGCTCCGTGGTCTTGGAAATCGCTACAAAGCGCCACGAAGTCAACAGTTTCAATTAAAATTTGAAGCCCTGATCGCTGTCTTCAACTCATGTCAATGTGAGCGCTTCGTACGCAGAGCTGCGCCCGCACGCCGCCCTCCTCGCCCAGGCCCCGCCGCGAAGGTGCGGCAGAACAGCCTCACCGCGAGCATCGAGTGCATGCCCGTCGAGGCCCGGCCACGGTCCGGGGGTGGCTGCGGGGGGGGCCTGCCTGGAGGGCTCCCGAGACATGTTCCTCCTCCTCCTCCTCCTCCTCCTCCTCCTCCTCCTCTCCTCCTCTCCTCCTCCTCCTCCTCCGCCTCCTCCCTCCTCCTCCTCCTCCTCCTCCTCCTCCCCTCCTTTTTCTCCTCCCCCTCCTCCTCCTCCTCCTCCTCCTCCTCCTCCTCCTCCTCCTCCTCCTCCTCGTCCTCCTCCTTCTCCATGCTGGCTAGGAGGACAGGACTTGTCTGCGCACCACACTCTTTTTGGGCTGCACAATGGTTCGGCGAAGGCCCACTGCTTCACCATCAATCCCGCCACCGAAAGTTTGGTCGGGTCCCGCTGTGTCTGTTTCATCTGTGCCAGACCGTCGTGACAACAGGGGCCTGCGAACTTGTGTGTGTGTGTTGGTCGGTTCCCGCATTGTCCGTTTTCTGTACTGGGTCTAGTTCTGCACAAACGGAACCAACACAGCGTGGGGCGTCTTACTTTCCGCAGTAGACTTGTGTCTCTGTTGCCAAAGTTATGGCCCTGTACGTGCCAGTCCTTATTCCCTCAAGCAGCGGAGGAAAGGTTTAACTTATTCGCCGGCGGTCGAATGGGCCTGGCAGCATTTTTACCTAACAGCGAAGACTGATAGGTTTCTGGTGGTCTCAAAAGAGAGCATCATGACTCCCGAGTGGGGTCTGGGCGGGATCCGGACAGGGTGCCCCGGGAAACCGGGGATTCCTTTTTTTATCCAACAGTAACGCACTTCGTGGTCTTCGAGTTCCCAGAACTCCATTCCTGGGCATGATTTTGAATGCCCAGAGCCAACTGTAGGCCACTTCGTGGTCTTCGAGTTCCCAGAATTATATTCCTGGGCATGATTTTGAATGCCCGGAGCCAACCGTAGGCCACTTCGTGGTCTTCGAGTTACCAGAACTCCGCTCGTGGGCATGATTTTGAATGCCCGGAGCCAACTGTAGGCCACGTCGAATTCTTCGAGTTCCCAGAACTCCATTCCCGGGCCACATGTTGAACGCTGAGGCAGGCTGATGCTGAGGCTGAGGCAGGCTGAGGCTGAGGCCGAGGCTGAAGGCAGACTGAGGCTGAGGCTGAAGCAGGCTGAGGCTGAGGCTGAGGCTGAGGCTGAGGCTGAGGCTGAGGCTGAGGCAGGCTGATGCTGAGGCAGGCTGAGGCTGAGGCTGAGGCTGATGCAGGCTGAGGCTGAGGCAGGCTGAGGCTGAGGCCGAGGCTGAAGGCAGACTGAGGCTGAGGCTGAAGCAGGCTGAGGCTGAGGCTGAGGCAGGCTGAGGCTGAGGCTGAGGCAGGCTGATGCTGAGGCAGGCTGAGGCTGAGGCTGAGGCTGATGCAGGCTGAGGCTGAGGCAGGCTGAGGCTGAGGCCGAGGCTGAAGGCAGACTGAGGCTGAGGCTGAAGCAGGCTGAGGCTGAGGCAGAGGCAGGCTGAGGCTGAGGCCGAGGCAGGCTGAGGCTGCGGCAGGCTGAGGCTGAGGCTGAGGCTGAGGCCGGCTGAGGCCATCTGCCGGTCCCCAGCTGCTGCTGCTGCAGAACACCTCGCATTGTCACGTCGCTGGTGACAACCGTGCTCTGATATGCGAGAGATCGTAAAGCAGGAGTCGGCGGCAGAAAGTCACAGAGCCCAACAGAAGAGGGTTGCCCTCTCTCCATGCACGTGCTGTTGGTGGAAACTTTCGAAGCGTGCGCGCGGTGCCAGAGCGAGAGCAGGAGCTCGGAGAGGAAACGCCCTCCGACCACCCGAGCAGCTGTGCGGTAGCGAGCACGAGAGTTTGGGATCCCAGGGGGGGGGGAAGCGGGAGCAGCACTTGCAGAAGTGAGGCAAGGAGAACAGGGAGGATGTGGATGAGGGGGAGGAGTTCAAGGAAGAGGAATTGAAAAGAGGAGGAGGAGAAGGAGGAGGAAGACGAGGAGGAGGGAGGAGGAGGAGGAGAGGGAGGCAGCAGGGCGTTGCCGGAGAATGAAGGAGGAGGGGTGGAGGTGGATGAGGAGGGAAAAGAAGGTTGCGACAGGTGTGGAGGACGACGACGACGACGACGCCGATCACGACGACGATCACGACGACGAACACGACCACGACAACGACGACCACGACCACGACCACGACAACGAAGACGACGACCACGGCGAAAAACGACCACGACCACGACGACGACGCCGACCACAACGACGACGACCACGACGACGACCACGACCACGACCAAGACCACGACCGCGTCGACGACGACGACGACGACGACGACGACGACGACGACGACGGCGACGGCGACCAGGACGACGACGACGACGACGGCGACCACGGCGATGAGGACCGAGGACGAGGACGGGAGGCCACCCGACCTTCGGCCGCTCCTCGGCGGCTCCTCGGCGGCCCTCGGCTGCCTCCAGCGGCCTCTGGCGGCCCTGGGCGGCCCTCGGCGGCCCTTCGGGGGCCTTCGGGGCCCCGCCCGCGAGGAGTCTGTCGCGGGCACGCCGCGGCAAGAGGAGGCCGGCACGGACGCGCAGGGGCGCGCCAGGACGGCGCGCTTTCGGGCGGGCCGAGGAAGAGGATAGATTTAAGTCGGGCGTGTCCCTCTACAGGAGGAAGATCTTCAAAAATAGGAAAAAATGTCTGGGAACCATTTTCTTAATATTTTTTGACTCGTAGGATAATTTTTTCCATAGCGTCCCGGAACGCGCTCAGAGCGTTCCCGGACGCTCTGGGAGGGCCGCGGCGCTCGAGACGTCTTCCGGAGCCGCCAAGTCTCAGAGAGTCTCGATTCCTCCCCACCCGATGTGATCCTCGTCCTGGCCTCCTCCTGCTCCTCTTGTGGCAGGCCTGCTTCGGCTTTGGCGCCGGCCGTGGTGCGCTTCGGGGCGGCTCTGGGCCAGCTCGCCCGAGTCGATGTTCTGCTCGCACGGGTGCCTCGCACGAGAGCACGAGAGGACAGTGACGCAGTGACGCAAGGACGCGCGGCACGATCACGTGCGGCACGGCCTGGAGCGCAGCGTCCGCGCGGCGCGTGTGTGGGCGGGGTCGCCGCGCGAGGCGTGGTGTGCGCCGAGTTTCGGGGGCGGAGGGGCGCTTGCCGCGGGCGAAGGCGTCGCGCGTCGGGGGCGGAGGGGTGTCTGCCAAATTGCTAGCAGGGGCCCCTTGAGGAGGAAGAGGAGGAGGAGGAGGAGGAGGAGGAGGAGGAGGAGGAGGCGGAGGAACGGGAGGGAGGGAGGGAGGGAGGGGAGGTCAAGGGAGGACTCAGGAGGAGGAGGAGGAGGACGAGGAGGAGGAGAAAGAGTATAAGGAGGAGGCGGAGGAGGAGGAGGAGGAGGAGGAGGAGAGAGGGGGGAGGAAGGGACGAGGAGGAGGAGGATCAATGTAAACCCAAGGCTCATCAACGATGTTGGAATAAGCCCTCCCTGCAAGCTCCCCCTTCATAGGCCCGTGCAAAATTCAGTTCCATTGAGGGAGGTGCCCCGTTGGGAGACAGCCGTTTGAAGAACCTGAAGCGTACCATGACACCTTTCTCCGGATTCCAACGCCACGAATCAGCCTGACCGTTGCGTCTTGAGGATCCTGAATCGTGCCAGAACACCATTCTTGGGACTTCCAACGTAACTGCTGCGCCCTGACAGTCCTGAACCTTTCCTAAACATGATTTCTGGTTCACTGAGTACGGGAAGGCGTGGGACTCTTACCATAATTCTTGGCTCGTTGACCATGTGCGCGGCGCTAAGGCGAGAACCATATTTCATAAATGAACCACCCTCTATTATGCAGATCTTTAAAACGAGCTTGCGCGGCGCTAAAGCGAGAGCAACATCTTGAAAAGGAACCACCCTCAATCCGTGAAACCGCTGCAAAGTGTGAAGACGAATGTGCGCGGCGCTGAGGCTGGAGCCACATAATGAAAACCACCCGCCTTCAAACCGTGAAACTCTTGCATTTGTTTAAACCAACGTGCGCGGCGTTGAGGCGAGAGCCACAATTTGAAAACGACCCGCCCTCAATCCGTGGAGCTTCTGCAAATGCTTAATTAAGACGAGTGTGCGCGCGCGGCGCGAAGACGAGAGCCACATTTTGAAAGCAACCCGCCCGCAATCCGTGGAGCTCTTGTAGACGTGTAGGACTAATGTGCGCAATGCTGAGGCGAGAGCCACATGTTGAAAACGACCTGCCCTCAATGCGCGAGACCCACTTGCAAAATTTCGGAAGAAATTTGTGCGGCGCTAAGGCGACAGCCACATGTTGAATCCATCCGACCTCAATCCGAGAAACTCCTGCGGTTTTTCAAGACGAATGTCGCAGCGCTGAGGCGAGAGCCACATTTTGAAAAAGACCCGCCCTCAATGTGCGAAGCCCTTTCAAGCTTCAAACACGTATGCGCGCGGCGTTGAGGCGAGAGCCGCATCTTGAAAGCCGCCCGCCCTCCATGTGTGAAACCGTTGCCAATTTCTCAGCTTCAGCATCCTAAAACATTGTAAGGAAGTTTGCAGCGGAGTGCCCGGCCCGCCCTCCCGACTGGCCTCGGGGTGCGACAGGGAGAAGGTATTTACCAGGAGAAGAAATAACGGAATGGAGGAGGAAGAGGAGCAGGAGCAGGAGCAGGAGGAGGAAGACGACGACTACGAGAATGACGACGACGGCACGCGTGCCTCGCGTGGACTTGCCCGGGAATTTGGCCCAGCTGCGAAAGCTCCCTCATAGCGTCCATCTCTCACCTACCCCCCGCCCCCGTTCGCTCCCCTCTTCCCCCTCGCCAGCGCTCTCCTTCCTTTTTGCCTCCTCTTCCTTCCCCAATCAACGTTTTATGTTTTTTCTTGTTTGCCTTCCTTTTGGTTGCTCAACCCGCCCCCATCCGCTCACCCTTCCCACCCCCTGCTCTCCTCTCTGCCTTCCTCCCCTGCACTCCTCCCATTTCCTTTCCCCCACTGAACTCCCCTTCCTTCCCTTCCCCTTCCCTGGTGAAGGAGGAGGACGACGACGACGACGAGGTGAAGGAGCAGGAAGACCAGAGAGGAGCAAAGTAGCGAGGTGGAGAGAGCAGGAGGAGGACCAGAGAGGACCAGAGAGGAGCAGAGCAGCGAGGCGGAGCAGAAGAGGAGGAGGAGGAGGAGGAGGAGGAGGACCAGCAGAAACCCAAGACTCATCAACGATGTTGCGAAGCACCCTTCCTCCAAGTTGCTTTTTGCAGAGGCCCTTTTAAGGTATACTTCACTGCGAGAAGTGCCCCGTTGGAAGGCAACCGTCCTAAAATCTTCAACCGTGCCAAAGCACGATTCCAGGGACCTCAAAACTGCGACTGAGCGTTACTGCTGCGACGGGCGATCCAACACCGTTCCAGAATACCAGGTAGGAAGAAGAACTGGCTGCATTCTCGGTTACTCGTAACTCTGCGCCTTCACTGGGATTTCTATGTTCATCCGTTCGATTTGCCTGACGTATTTCCGCATTGTCCTGCAGCCTTATTTGTTTTGCCGCCGGAACTAACTCGGAACGCTACGCATGTTCTATTCCAGAAAGGACGCTACAAGCAGAGCGCTTGAAGTCCGCCCAACTACAAAGAACGATGACCAGATAGGAGGAGGAAGAGGACGACGAGGAGGAGGAGGAAGGAGTCGCCCGAGCCACCTCAGTCTGGCGCCCCTCGAAGCGCCGCGCGGCAGGATGAGGGGGGGGAGGGAGGTCGATGGGGGGAGAGGCCTGGCCGCATCAGAAAAGCGCCCGTCTTGCCAGCTCCGACGCCTACGTCATCATCGGCTCACCGGGCGTTTCTGCAACCGTGGCAGCATGAGTGGTCGGTCCGACCAGGACAGGCTCACCAGGAGGAAGAGGAGAAGGAGGAGAAGGAGGAGGAGGAGGAGGAAAGGGGACAAGTAATCAAGCTCGCGTATCTGGGCTCGCTCTTTCTAGCTGTTCAGTGCACAGGACTCGTTTGGATGTGGTGCGCTTTCACGACCAGCTGCATCTCTACCCAGCTTATTTTCCCCCATGCCATGATTCCCAACGCGTCTTGAAGTCTGGGCTTCCCCCGTGGGGCACCAGCGTTGCCAAACCTGGAGCGCGAAAGAGGACCGAGGGGGAGCTGCTGAGGGAGAGGGAGTCGAAGGGTCGATGAAGAAGCAACGTAAGGAGGTGAAGGGAGACGGGCTAGCAGCAGCAGCAGAAGCAGCGGCAGCAGGAGGAGGAGGAGGAAGAGGAGGAGGGGGCAGGAGGAGGAGGAGGAGGGGGAAGCGGAGGAGGAGGAGGGGGAAGCGGAGGAGGAGTAGGAGGGGGAAGCGGAGGAGGAGGAGGTATTCTTGGGCATGGCGAGAGGGAGGAGGAGATGCACAGAGCGCTCTTGCCGAAAGGGGCAGCGCCGCCTTTGCCGCTGGCGGGCAGGAGGGGGGGGGGCCTGGCTGGGGCTGCTGTCGTGGCGCCAACGGGTCGTGGGGTAAGAGTATGTGTTGGCGCCAAGGAGCAGGGCAAGGGGACGGAACACGAGCTTTCTGTTCTGTGTACCGAATCCTATCGTGGGTGCCCATGCCAAGAAACACCCTGCTCGCCTCCAGGTGCCATGGGTGTCTTGGGTGTCGATGGCTTTGCCATGGAAAGCGTGACATTCCCACACCAAGAATCCATGGACGGGTCTCAGGGTTGGGTTTCTTGTGGACTGGCCTCCATTGTGCCGTTCCTATGATGTTTATTGCCCTGAGACTCGACACCAGGAGCAAGGACAACGTGCCAAGGCACCACGACCACAGCTGATTACTCTTAATAACGTGTTGCGCTCTATGGCCGCCAGGAGAGCATGGCGCGAGTGCCTGGATGGGGTTGGTCGAGCATGGTGTTAGTCCTCCTCCACCTCCGTCGCAGCTTCTGGGCAGACGCATGCTTCCGAGCACAAAGACCAACAGCGATTCCTGTCGATGTTGTACAGGATTCGCTGTCCGCGTCACCGCGCATGTTCTCCATTTGAGGCAGAAGGCGGCCTGCCCAACAGCAGCCTTTGTTGGTGTTTGACAACATTTGTTATTGGTCATTGGATCAGTTTTCCGTACCCATTTCGGGCGTCCAAAGATGCTTTTCCTTTTGAGCCAGCTTTCCTTTGTCGTTCCGCCTCGTGGTTTCCTGTATCGACCCAGCGGCGGCACAGGTTTTGCCGACGACTTCCCAGACATCCTGAACGCGTTTGACGCCTACGTCGCCCCAGGCACGAAGGTCCACGTGCTCTCGTGCATCCCCGTAGAGCAGCGCGAGCAGAAGCTGAGCAGCATGCCGGAAGCGATCAAGGAGCGCAGTATGGAGCGCAGAATGGGGAGTCCAATTGACATCTACGGCCGAGTCGGCTGTATTCCTCGGCGGAAGGTCGACCGAAGCGAACAAGGGCGCCCCTGCGGGCGGCAGGCCGGCGAAAAGCCTGCGGAAGTAGAAGGTGCGCCCCAGAGACATGCCAACATTTCGGGACGATCGAAGTGGGTACGGAAAGAATGGGCACGATGCCCAACGGCAGTTTTTGTTCATTTTGAACAGGACCTGCTGTCCGCGCCGCCGCAGCCTGTGACCGTTTGAGACAGAAGGCCGCCTGCCCAGCAGCGACCGCTGTTGGTCTGGGACAGCACTTTTCGTTGGGCATCGTACCCACTTTTCCTGTACCCCTTGCGGGCGTCCGAAGCATACAGCGTGCCCCCTGTCGCCATCCCGCCGGAGCAGTCGACCTCTGCCCAGCCGCCGACGCAAAAGGTGTGTCCTTGTGCGGGCCGCGGCTCTGCTCGGCCTCGGCCCCTCCGCCGCTCCTCGTGCGTGCCCTGGCCCCCGCTGCGTGTGCGCTGGTCCCTCGGGCCCTCGTCGGCCCCTCCTCGTCACTGGCTGCGATTGCCCGGGAGTCAGCGCTCGACTCGCAACCGCGGCCAACACAAATGCATCCAGGGTCAAGTCGGGCCTGTCCCTCTACAGGAGGAATATTCCAGAATAGTCCATAAAAAACCGGGACGACTTTGCGACCATTCTTGGCAATTTTGGCAATTTGCTGACTTTTTTTCTTGCCTCTGCCTCTAGGAGGACACGCCCGCCCTAACCCTCGTCCCTGTGGGATTGCCCGGGAGTCAGCGCTCTACTCGCACCCACGGCCAGAACACATGTACCCAGGGCGTCCGGGATCGGACATCATCAAGGGCGGCCGCCGGAAGCGTGAGGACATCGGGCTCGTCGCCACGTGGCTGCGTCCCCCTCCTAGTTGCTGCTCCGGCCGCCCGTCCCGCTCCCCCCGCCTCTCTTCCTGCTTCTTGGCAATTCCGCCCGCGCCCCCCCCCCCAAGGGCCGAGGAGGAGGCTCAGGAGGAGGAGAAAGACATGGAGAGAGGATGAGGACGGAGGAGGGGGAGGAGGAGGAGGAGGAGGAGGAGGAAGAAAGACATGGAGAGAGGAGGAGGAGGAGGAGGAGGAGGACCAGTGGAAACCCAAGAGTCCTCAACGATGTTGGAAACAACCCTCCCTCCAAGCTCCCTCTTCATAGGCCCCTACAACGGCTCATGTCCATTGAGAGAACTGCCTCGCTGGAAGACAACAGTTTGAAGATCCGGAAGCGTGCCAAAACATTGTTCTCGGGATGTCAACGCCACGTCTTAACCTGATTGCTGCGTCTTGACGGTCCAGAATCGTGCCAGAACGCCATTTGGGGGATTATAACACAGCGAATCAGCATGACTATTGTGCCCGCCTAATCCTGAATCCTTCTTCCAGAACCATTTCTGGTACGCTGGTCCTGGGAATCCGTGAACATCTGGCAATTTTTCAAAACGAATGTGCGCGGCGCTAAGGCGAGGGCCACATTTTGAAAACCTTCCGCCCTCAATCCGTGAAGCTTTTTACAAGTTGTTTAAACGAATGTGCGCGGCGCTGAGGCGAGAGCCACATTTTGAAAACGGCCTGCCCTCAATCCGTGAAGCTCTTATGAATATTTAAAACGAATGTGCGCGGTGCTAAGGCGAGAGCCACATTTTAAAACGGCCCAGCCTCAAGCCGTGAAGTTCTTGTATGTTTTGAACGAGTGTGCGCGGCACTCAGGCGAGAGCCACATTTTGAAAACGACGCGCCCTCAATCCGTGAAACTCTTATGAATGTTTAAGACGAGTGCGCGCGGCGCTAGGACGAGAGCCACATTTCGAAAACCACCCGCCCTCAATTCGTGAAGCTCTTGCAAATGTTTGAACGAATGTGCGCGGCGCGAAGGCGAGAGCCACATTTTGAAAACCACGAGCCCTCAATCCGCGAAACTCTCGCATGTTAAAAAATAGAATACGCGCAGCGCTAAGGCGACAGCCACATTTTGAAAACGGCCCGCCCTCCATCTGTGAAATTGTTGACACTGTTTAAGCTTCAAAGTCGAATGGTGGGGAAGTCAAAGGCGAATCGCCCGGCCCGCCCTAAACACTGGCCTCGGGGTGCGACAGGGAAGAGTTATCTATAAGGAGAAGGAATGGAGGAGGAGGAGGAGGAGGAGGAGGAGGAGGAGGAAGAGGGAGGGGAGGAGGAGAAGAAGGAGGAGGAGGAGGGGGGGGAGGAGGAGGAGCAGGAGGGAACAGGAGGGAGATGGGCGGGGCGTGGTGCCTCATGGGACGGGCGCGAGGCTCTCCCTCATAGTTTTGCCAACCATACGAGTCCAGTCCAGTCAGCCCTTGTCAGTCCACCCTGCGAGAAACATGTTCGGGCCACGCCCGAAAATGTAACAACCCACATGACTACGGCATGAGAGTAACCATACATCCGATGCAACGGTACACACGTGGAGGCTGCGATGACAGCACGCCTCTTCGCCAGTTCTGCAGCAGATCATCTTGCGACTCCCTTTGGAAGCTTGCCAGCAAGCAAGGACGGTGCGCGGTGCGGATCACGCGCCCGCTTCATTTCGACCGTCTCTCTCCTTCTGCCCCTCTCCCATTACCTTCTCACACCCATCTTATCTGCTGCCCCCTCTCCCGCACCCGCCGCACACTCTCCACGCCTAGGGGATCCCCTTCGGGGACCATCCGTTCACATTGGAACGACACAGAGAAGATTAGCGGTCGAAGCAGGAAAATGGCATAAACACAAATTCTTGGCGCTCCGCGCGGATTTCTCGGATCCGCGCTGAGCCCCCCTGGCGGCGCCTCCGCGCGCCAGGGAGGGTGGCCCAGCGCAAACCTCAGAGAATCCGCGCGGAACGCCAAAAGTTTATCGTTGTGCCGTTGTTTCGTTTTGTTCCAAGGATGCCACGCGCCAGGCGAGAAGTGTGCAGCATGTGCTCTCAAACGTCGCAGACACACGCTCCACTCCCCAGAACAGGACGCTGGGCCTTCTTGCCCCTGCCGGGGCGCCCCTTGGCGCGGCGTGCCGCACTCGGTTTGAGTTCAAGTCGGGCCTGCCCCTCTGCAGGGGAGAGATTCAAACACAGTCAAGAATAGTATGGTGAAGATGTTTGCATTCATCCTGGCTGTGTTCGAATATGGTTTGGCTGTTCCAAGTTTCTTCCAGCATCCGCCTGCAGGAGGGCATGCCCGACCTAAGTATACGTACTTCGGCCACAGCCGCAGCGAAGAAAGCGCACGCGGGGCGGCGGGAAGTTGAACTGATTGCGTGGCATTTCAAGTCGTGCGTCCGCCAGCTTGTGGTGTGCATCGTTCTTATGCTTCTCCTTTTTGGGGGGGCTTCAGAGGAGCAGCAAATCATGACAGGTATACGATGCAAGTTCGTTTTTCGGAATTACCCACATGTCCTATTATGCCGCACAGGGTCCAGAAACTAGGGGTTGGGCACTACTGAACCCCTGGAATGTATCCTGCGCCGATCGCATCATGGCATCATTGTTGCCCTCATGCCCCACGTTCCTCACCCTGACGCTGCTCCTACTCCGTAGCCGTTTGACTCAAGGAGAGGCGTTGTGAAGAATAGGTTTTGTCGCGTTTCTTCCCCTGCCCGTTGCTATACCATTCGCGATGGCTACGATCGTATACGTCGCATTTGCGATTTGGCAGTTGCTACTTGGCCTCGGATTGATATTCGAGCAGGCTAAGGTGTACGGTAAAAGCAGCAACCCTCAGGCAAAGCGCGTTGCCCAACTTGCTGGTGCCGCATGGCTCGGCTATGCTTACCTGGGGCTCCTTGCTGGCATGCACATTGAGCAGACGTTCGCGAGGCATGTGATGTGGGTTGAAGTCATTTTCAATGCCTTGTTCTCCGTTGCCGTGGGACCAGCACGCCTGACTGCAGCCAATTCACGTGAGCCTGTTTTGGCCGTCGTCAACACTGGTATTGTTGCACTGGTGGCTGTGGTTCTCCTTCTCTGCTAGTGCTATTGAGGGTCACCGTGTCACCCCGCTATAGATAATCATGTGTACTTGCGAGCTGTGTACCCGGGTCATCTTGCGGACGACAGAATTCCGAAGTGTTTCTTCGCGGCCCTTCATCGGTGCCCGCTTCTCTTAGCAGACGACGCACACAAGTATGAAGGGTGAGATCCCGAGGGTCGCCAGTGCTGCACCTGGAAGCGCAAGCTGGCGCAAGTCATTGTTTGCCAGTAGATCAGCCATGACAGCCAATGGCAAGATGGTGGGCGATCCCCCAAAGTGACGCGCAGGCCACAAGCGCATGCGTCAAAAAGCTGGGAAAAACGCGTGCCCTTGCTTGTCAAAAGGCGAACACAGAAGCCGTAGGGGTGAAGTCTAAGATTCTACGCGAAGTCGCGAATCCCGCCAACGAATTTGGCTATCCCGCCAGCGGAAAACCAAGGCGAATTTGAAAAGCGCCGCCCAGGCGAAGTTCGAAATCATACAGGCGAACATAGAAATGCAAGGAAGCGAGTTCGTAAAGCGTAAATAGTTTGGCCTATGCTTAGGTGGAGGGGTATCAGCAGCCCTAGGAGCAGGAGGAGCGTGAAGACTGAGCAGGTGCATAGGGAGAATGACGCCGAGGAGAACAAGGAGGATGAAGTGGATGAGGATCGGGGACTTACTAGAGCACACGTGGGTTGTCATCAGCCGCCACCGCCAATTTCCTCCGTCTTGCTTATTTTGTTTGTCCTTCTCCATACCATCCGTAGAATTTCATCGCAGCCTCACAGATGGTCATAGGAAAGAATGCGTTGCAAACATCCTGGTCGTCCAGAAATTGGGCGGGGGGGGGACCTCCACCCTCGAAAGACAACGGGAATCCCCCCACCCCTACGGGCGCCAGCAAACGACGACGACAACGACGACGACGACGACGACGAGGTCGAGGATGGCGAAGCTCCCCCTTGGCGCTGGCAAGCGACGAGGATGACGACGACGACGACGACGACGACGGCGACGGCTACGGCGACGGCGACAGCGACGGCGACGACGACGGCGGTGATAGCGTTGTTGACGACGACGACGACGACGACGACGACGACGACGACGACTGGTGACGACGACGACGTCGACGATGACGACGGCGATGACGAAGACGGTGACGTCGACTACCGGGTGGCACCTAGAACGGACGCTTGAAGCCAGGCTCTAGCCAGATGCCGAGTGTCGGAAATTCTTCGATGAGAAGACAACAGGGGGGTGTAGCAGATATAGCGCCAGCCCAAGAAGGATGAAGAGGAGAGGAAGGAAGATGAGGAGGTGGACAAGGGAAGAGGATGGGATGCGGGACGAGGTAGAAGGGGTGATTGGATGGAGGAAAAAGGATGAAGGAATAGCAGCTTTAGGAGGAGGAGGAGGAGGAAGAGGGGGAATGAGAAGGTGGAGTAGGAGAGTGAAAGGGGAGGTGAAGGAAAAGGAGGGGAAAGATGATAACGTTGGGGGAGAAAGATGGGGGGAGGTGGATGATGACAATCGCCACCACTGCAAAAGTTTTCGAGCACCGCCGTTTCCACCATCTCCCCGTTTCCCCTTCTTTATGTTCCTCGTCACCCTGTACCTCGTCCTCTACCTTATCCCTCCTCCGTGTCATCCTCGTCCTCTCCACGAATTTGCTGTACCCATCGTTCGGTCTCCCTCGTCGTTGTTGCGGCTTGTGTTTCAAGGAAGTCAGGGTTTGACGCTAATCCACGTCCAAACGAACACGTGCTCAAGGTCGCCCTCCGCATTATTCTCGTCCTTGTCATTCGTCCTCGTCGACGCCCTTGCCCATCCCTCAGCCCTCCTCCAGATTCTCGTCCTTGGCGTCCCTCCTCGTCGTCCTCCTTGCCAATCCCCCATCATGTTCCTCATCCTCCTTCAGCCTCGTCCTCTTCGTCGTCCCTCCTCCCGTCATCCTCGTTCTCTCCACGTCGTCGTTGTCGCCCTGCTCCTGATCCTCGTCCTCGCCCTTGTTCTTCTTCCCGGTCGCCCCCCCCGCCCATCCCCCCCGGCACAGAACATCACTCTGGTCCACCACGAGGGGAACACGAACTCCGTCAGGGGGCTCACGGCCCTGCCCCTCGCCGAGGCGAAGGCGACCCTGGTGCTCGCGGAGGCGGGGGGTCCTTTTGGAGGAGGAGGAGGAGGAGGAGGACGAGGAGGAGGAGGACGAGGAGGACGAGGAGGACGAGGAGGACGAGGACGAGGGGGAGGAGGAGGAGAAGGAGGAGGAGAAGAAGAAGGAGGAGGAGGATAGGTAGGAGGAAGAGGAGGAGGAGGAGAAGGAGGAGGAGGAGGAGGAGGAGGAGGAGGAGCATGCGGAGGAGGAGGAGAAGAAGGAGGAGGAGGAGGAGGAGCAGGAGGAGCAGGAGGAGCAGGAGGAGCAGGAGGAGGAGGCAGGGCGCGGGCGCGGCCGCCGGCGGGGCGCCCGGGCACCTGGGATCTGCCCGCCGCCTCCCCGCCGCTGCTCCGTACCCCCGCCGCGGCCCGCGGGACGCTCCCAGGGGGACGCTCCCAGGGAGGGGAGGGGGAGGAGGGGGAGGAGGGGTGGGGAGGGGGAGGGGGGAAGGAGGGAGGGGGGGGAGGAGGGAAGGAGGGAGGAACGGGAGGAGGGAGGAGGGGCAGGGCGACGAGGAGCCAGTGCACGATGGGAGAGCAGCGCGCAGCTGCATTCTGCATGTCGGGGCCAGTGCTCGGTCGGCGCGGGAGGCGCCGCCTTGGCGAGGCGGTCCTGGCGGCTAACTCTGGGCCCATGGATGGTGGACCACGAAGCACCCAACCCAGACATGCTCGCGTCGTCAAAAAACACGACGGGGGTGTTTGACCGCTTTCGGTTTCCAGGGGCCTTCGTCATGCCCCTGGACCGTCATCGGACGACTCGAGATGAGAAGCCGGCCCTGGGGAAGGGGTCGACACTTCGGGGAGGCCGCATGGACAATATCCAAACGTCGCATGCCTGGGAAGAGAACCCCAGGGCTGCTTGCCTCAAAGGCGAGGTCAAAGCTCACATGCCAGAGCTGTGGCTCGGACGCGCGACGTTTCCCTCGTCACCGCCGTCGCCGTCCAGGCGCTCGGTGGCCCAGCGCCTGAGCCCTCGCGGCGCTGCCACTTCGCGCCTCCTGCAGCCCGAGGGCGCGAGGCATCTCCGCCTGCGCCCCCCCCCCCCCCCCACCACACCCCAAGCCGCGCGGCCCACCCGGCAGCAGCGGCGGCGCGGGGGGGGGGAGGGGCCTGCGCTGCGGTGTGCTGCCGTACTGCCCTCCGACGAGGCACCTCCGACACTCCACGGGCCGGCTCCCCGGCCGGGGGTTCTCTTGCCCCCCCCCCCTCCCTGCAGCGCGGGAGCCTCGCCCCCGCTCCTGCAGTGCAGGAGCCGTCCCGTGCGCCTGCGGCGCAGCTGCTCAGAGAGACCACTCGCTGCTCCCGGCCCCGGACGCATGCTTCTGAGGCCCGTCCGAGCAGCAGGCCCCGCACCTGCAGCAGCCAACAATGGACCGCTGCTTCTCGTCGCGGCCTGCGACGTCGCACTCCAAGAGCGCCAGCGTCGTCGGATGGGCACGCAGTGGCGTGCAGCTTCCTCCCATTCCTGCCCCGCCGTTCCACGGTCACCCCCCCTTCTTCTGAATCGGCCTCGGTTGGCTGCTCTTCTGGTGGTTGTTCATTCTCGTGGCCTGTAGCAGCCCGGCGCTAGAAATACATTTCTCCGAGATCATCATTGTCATCTCGGTCATCCACTTGTATGCGCACGCACAGTGGCCTCCCGTCGGGTCGCCTGTTGCTCCAAGAATTTGGGACCGATCCAGAGCGGATTGTACTTTATAACTAAGGCGTGCTCAGCTGCTCCGAACAGTGCATAAGTTAACTTGGGACCCCAGCCCATTATTAATCCGGCGTTGATGTCGGCCCTCTATCATGGGCCTTCTTCGTTGAAATACGCAAGCAGACCGTGTAAAAGGTTCCTTATAGAAAGGGAGCGGAGGAGCAGTAGCAGGAGTACGAAGAGGTGCGGGAGGATAGGCAGCAATCAAGTGACCCACTTTATAGACCGCCTGTGGAGGTAAAACCCCTGGCTGTTCTCGACGCATGACCACAATGTTCATCTATATGATTCCCATCCCGTGGGTCAAGTCAATGTCAGCCAATGGCAACTTGGTTTCGGCAGTATCCTTGACATTAAACATGCGGTCTACTGTCAGACAACTAGCGGACCCAGTTCCTGTGAGCTGACCCCTCCCCCTCGAGATCAGTGGACCAAAAAGAGAAGGGTCTCGAAGGGCCCCAACCCTTGGCAATTCCTTGCCCATTTGAGCAAGAGTACGATGGCGTGCTTGGCAATCCTCTTCCTCCCCCTCCTCCTGCTCCTCCTCCTCCTCCTCCTCCTCCTCCTCCTCCTCCTCCCCATCACCAGCATCACCAGCACCATCACTTTCACCATCACCATCATACTCACCATCATCAGCATCAGCATCAGCATCAGCATCAACATCATCATAGTCAGCATAAGCATCATCGTCAGCAGCAGCATCATCAAAATCAGCATCAACATCATCATCAGCATCAGCATCATCATAAGCATCATCACACTCACCATCATCATCATCATCATCATCATCATCAGCATCATCATCATCATCATCATCATCAGCAGCAGCAGCAGCAGCAGCAGCATTAGCATCATCAGCATCAGCATCAGCATCAGCATCGTCACCAACACCAGCACCAACACCAACACCACCGCCATCACGCCCCAGAAGGGGCACCCCCATAAGCGGGGTGTCGAGCCAAAGCGCCGCCTGGCGCAGGCGGGGAGCACCGGGCCTTCGAGGCCCCAGCCCCTGCACCTGGGCGCTCCTTCCCGGGGGACCGCCAGGTCCCGCGTCCTCCCCTTGGGCGGTGCGGGAGTTCACTCCCCGCATTCGCCGCCTTGGGGGTGGATCGATGGTCCGTCGTCCCCCGGAGGCCCGTCCGCTCTGCTCTGCACCTGCGCCGTTGGCCTGCTCCCCTCGTGGGAACGGTGCAGAGCTTTGCGGGGCCCTCTGCTTGCCCTCTGGGCCCGGAGCCACCGCGCAGAGAGCGGTGGGCTTCGCGCAGCGGGAGAGCGGCCAGAGGCGGCGCCGCCAGCCTGGCGCGGCATGGCATCCGCTCGAGCTTCGCCACAAAAAACACCACCAACATCATCATCATGACCATCATCAATATCATGACCACCATCATCATCATCATCATCATCATCACCAGCATCACCATCCTCATCATCATCCTCATACTCATACTCATCATGATCATCATCATCATCATCATCATCGTCACCATCATCCTCGCCATCATCATCACCATCACCATCAGCATCATCATCAGCAACAGCATCAGCATCGTCAGCAGCAGCATCATCCTTCCCCGCCGTCGCTGAATACCTCCCCTTCCTGGACTTCATTCGCGTTGCGAGGGAAGGGGAGGCAGGAGTGCGATAACGAGGATGAGAAGGAGGAGGAAGAGGAGGAGGAGGCGGAGGAAGAGAGGGGACGAGCTAGGTGCGCTCGCGCCATATCTGATATCCCGCCCCTCCCACCCATCCGTTGTGGCATCGAATTTGTCTCTATCCACGGACGCGTCTCCTAGCGGACCTGGAATTCAAAAAGGATTGCTTTACCGTGCTGTCCAGAGTCGGAAAAGGGGACCTGCGTAGATTGGAAGATGAGGTGGCAGATGAACAGGAGGATGAGCCGGAGAAAAGAAGGAGAAGGAGGAGCAGGAGGAGGAGGAGGAGAGGAGGAGGAGGAGGAGGAGCAGGAAGACGAGGACGAGAACGAGGACGAGGGTGAACAGCAGCAGCAGGAGCTGCACTGGCAGGAGCGAAAGGAGCTGGAGGACCAGGGGAAGGCCGAGGAGGCGAAAGGAGGGGGCGTCAACGATGAGGAGAGACCCGGATCCAGGAGAGAGGCCGCCCGCCCAGGTGTGAGAGTGCTTTCTGGGATGTGGGAGCCACGCGCAAATTTCAAAACGAGGCCAGTGCTGCAGCGGGAGTACCACCTTACAGGACCAGAAACGATTGGATGGTAGCACAAGAGACGCACGTTTTGAGATCCGATGTGTGAAAGAACATATGCGGAGAGGGCCAGATGTCTTTCGGGCAGTCTCAGGAGGGACAAGAGACTAGCATTCTGGATGGGCACTTTTTGGGCAACTGTGAAGGACGGGGAGGAAGTAGGGGTGCTTGCGGGGTCGGGGAGGGTGAGTTCTTCGCGTCACCGCAGCACGCCCTCGCAGCGGATTGCTCTCCCGACGCGCTTCCGTATGTAGGTACACTATTATAAAGGAAGACCTGGCTGTCTTTCTGCATCTACTATCCTTACCTATCTTTTCTCTGTAAGATGCTATTGTCCTGGAACGGGCAGTACATTGTCCGCACCGCTGGTGGCTGCTCATGTGTCCAAACGAATTCCCTTCGGCCTAAGCCCAGCCTTTCACAGCGTTCGCGATTGCTCTTTGCCGCCGTCGAAGGAAGACATGACGACTGCCATCGTGAATCTCATGCGCCCGTTTCTTCCCAACTCGTCCGTTCCGTCGCGAAGGCATCGCGGTCCTTGTCAATATAATAAGTGGTCTGTTGCTTCTGCTCTGGCCCTTCCCCCCCATCTCCCTTCCACTCACTTCCCCCCCTTTTCTTCATTTCCACTCACCACACACACACACCTCACCATGTCCATGCCATGTCCTCCTCTTCTGCATCCTTTCTATCATCCTCGTTTCCATCCTCCCCCTCTTATCCCACTCATCCTCGTCAATATCCCTTGCTCATCTCTCCCCCCCTCCTCCTCCAAACTTCCTGCGGGCCCGTTTCCTCCTCCCTGCCTCCCACGTCCTTCCCCACCCTCTTCCTGCCTGTCGCCCCCGTGCTGCCCCCCCAGTCGAGACGCTGAGAAACAAATGCCACTTCGGGTTCAGGAGGGGATCTGGTGCTCGGGCCCTTCCTGAGATGTTGGTCGGGGGGCTCCTCCGTGGCCGAGACTCGCCGCGACCGTGAACGCCCCTTCGTTACGTGTGTGTTTGCCTTCCTTACTGGCAGCACGATGGCCGTACCCCGGTGCTGCCCCGCCCCACGACTTCTGCCTGGCGCACCGCTCCGTGCCCCCCCCCCCCTCCCCTCCCCACCTGGGCGCGCAGGGCCAGGCTGGCAAGGTCGACGCCGTCACCAGCGATTCGGCTTGCCTCGCGCGCCCCCTAGAGTTGCGCGTCTTGCGGGGGCAGGAGGAGGAGGAGGAGGAGGACCAGTGCAAACCCAAGAGTCATCGACGATGTTAGAATAGACCCTCCCTCCAAGCTCCCTCTTCGAAGGCTCCTGCAACGGCTCATATCTGAGGGAACTGCCTCGTCGGAAGACATCTGTTTCAATAGTCCGAAGCATGCCAACAAAATGTTCTCGAGATTCCAACGCCACGGATCAACCTGACGGTTGCGTCTTGACGGGCCTGAATCGTGCCAGAACGCCATTCTTGGAATTCCAACACCGCGAACCAACGTAATTGTTGCACGCGCATAATCCTCAATCTTTCCTAAACACCATGTGTGGTACGTTGGCCATGGGAGCCCGTGAAACTTTTGAAAAGTAAATAAACGAATGTGCGCGGCGCTAAGGAGAGAGCCACATTTTGAAAAGGAGCCGCCCTCAATTCGTGAAGCTCTTGCAAAGTTGTAGAACCAAAGTACACGGCGCCAAGGCGAGAGCCACAGTTTGAAAACCACCCGCCCTCAGTCCGTGAAACTTTTGCATTTGTTCAACGAATGCGCGCGGCACCAAGGCGAGAGCCACATTCTGAAAACGAACCGCCCTCAGCCCGCGAAGCTCGTTCAATTGTTTAGAGCGAGTGTGCGCGGCGCTAAGGCGAGAACCACATGTTGAAAACCACCCGCCCTCAATACGCGAATCTCTTGCAAGTTGTGAAAACGAATGTGCGCGGCGCTAAGGCGAGAGCCACTGTTTGAAAACAGCCCGCCCTCCATGTGCGAAACTGTTGTCAATAGTTAAGCGTCAGGGCCATAAATGGTGAGGATATCTGAGGCGAAACGCCCGGCGCGCCCGAAAAACATGCTTCTGGGTGGGGCAGGGGAAAGTTATTTGCAAAGAAAAGGAAAGAAGGAGAAAGAGGAGGAGGAGGAGGAGGAGGAGGAGGAGGAGGAGGAGGAGGGGGAGGAGGAGGAGGAGGAGGAGGAGGAGGAGGAGGAGGAGAAGGAGGAGCAGGAGGAGGAGGAGGAGGAAGAGGAGGGGAAGAGAAGGGCGGAGGGAGGGAGGGAGGGAGGGAGGGAGGAAGGCATGGAGGACGGGAGGGAGGGCGGTAGGGAGAAAGGCAGGGAGGCAGGGAGGCAAGGAGGGAGGGAGGCAGGGAGGCAGGGCGGCACGGAGGCAGGAGCCAGGGAAGCAGGTTCGGAGGAGGAGGAGGAGGAAGAGGAGGACGAGGAAGAAGAGGAGGAGGAGGAGGGAGGAGGAGGAGGGGGAAGAGGAGGAGGAGGAGGTAGAGGAGGAGGAGGAGGAGGAGGAGGAGGAGGACAGGGGAAGAAAGAGAGAGAGAGAGAGAAACAAAAAAAAAAAACGAAAGAAATAAAGAGAGGAAGGAGGGAGAGGAGGGAGGGAGGGGGGGGACGCGTGGAGAGAAGGAGGGAGGGAGTATTGATTTTTGTTTCAGGCGACGCTTACGTGGCACCAGTTGCGACGACCAGGGCGAAGTCAAGACCTCAATGTTGTGATTCGTAGTCGTATTCTGGGGTGGTCGTCTTTGTGAATTACTTCCAGGCGGGTAGAACGGAGGAAGTGAGAGAGAAAGGGAGGGAGGGAGGGAGGGAGGGAGACACCGAGGAGGAGGAGGAGCAGGAGGAGGAGGAGGAGGAAGACGAACAGAAGGAGGAGGCCGTTGAGGGGGAGGAGAAGTAGGAGGAGGAGGAGGAGGAGGAGGAAGAGGAGGAGGAGGAAGAGGAGGAGGAGGAGGAGGAGGAGGAGGAGGAGGGGCAGGAGGACGGGGAAATGGAGGAGAGAGACGAGGGGACGAGGAAGGGCCGCGGATAAGCATCGGGAGAAACAGGGGGCGGGGGGGAGGAGTTGGAGCAGGGGGGGCAGGGGGAAGGGGAGGGAGAGGAGGAGGAGGAGGAGCAGCAGCATGAAGAAGAGGAGGGCCAGGAAGAGCAGGAGTCGCGCCAGCATCTCCCTGCGAGGCGGCCGGCGCACCCTCGGGCCAGGGGAGGAGGAGGAGGAGGAGGACGACGACGAGGAGGAGGATCAGAAGGAGGAGCAGGAGGAGGAGGAGGAGGAGGAGGAGGAGGAGGAGACGGGGGGGGAAGAGAGTGCAAAAGGAGGGAGGGCGAGGGGACGGGGAATGGAGATGAGGCAAGGAGGGGACGAGAGGAGGGAGGAACGGAGGGAGTTGTGTGTATGTGTGTGTTCAGGCGACTCTGGCGCGGCACCAGTTGCGACGACCAGGGCGAAGTCAAGAGCTCAATGGTGTTTCTAATTTTATTATGCTTGGGTAGTTGGCTTTCTGCACTACTTCCAGGCGGGTCGTAGAGAGGGAGGGAGGGAGAGAACGAGAAGGCGGAGGAGGAGGAAACGAGCAGGAGGAGGAGGAGGAGGAACAGGTGGAGGAGCAGGAGGAAGAGGAGGAACAGGAGGAAGAGAAAGAGAAGCTGGAGGAAAAGGAGGAGGAGGAGGTACAGGAGGAGAGGAGGAGGCTGGGGCTGGGGGAAGAGAGACAGAGAGAGAGAGAGGAAAAAAAAGGGAGGGGGAGGGGACGGGGAAGGGAGAGCAGGCAGGGGACGATGGTAGAGAGGTAGGGATGTAGTTGTGTGTTTTACGGCTACGCGAACGCGGCACCAGATGCGACGACCAGGGCAAAGTCAAGAGCTGACTGTTGTGATTCATGGTATTATGCTGGGTTGGCTGCCTTTTGCGAACTACTTCAAGGTGGGTCGAAGGGAGGGAGGGAGGGAAGAAGGGAGGGAAGGCGAGACAGGAGGAGGAGGAGGAGGAGGAGACGAGGAGGAGACGAGGAGGAGAGGAGTAGGAGGAGGAACAGGAGTAGGAGGAGGAACAGCAGGAGGAGGAGGAGAAGGAGGGGAGGGAAGGGAAGAGAGAGAGGAGGGACGGGGAAGCGACATTGAATAGCATCGGGAGAGACAGGGTGATGTAGGGAGGAGGCGGGGAGGAGGATGAGTCGGAGCAGCAGCGGAGGTCAGCAGCGAGCCTCACGAGAGGGACCACTGGGTACCTCACACTATCCACTATGATTGTTACACAGGTGAACCGCCTGATGAAGTATTTGACCAAGCTGCTCGAGACGTCGAACTTCAGGCGATGCAGGAACATGGAGTGCGCGCTGAGGTGGACACTGCTACAGCCACCGACGGCAAGCACATTGGAGGTGCCCGCATCGCGCACATGAGGGAGGGAAAGGTTAGGTGGAGGTTCGTGGCCACGGAAGTCAACAAGTACGAGGTCAGGGAGGACAGCCACCAAGGGACACCGCCTTTGATGATCGTCAGGGCCACGCTCAGTCGAGCAGCATCGAGTCCTGCATCGGCAGGGGACCATAAGAGGACGATGCAGATCTGGGACGTTCGGAAGGCTTTCTTCAGAGCCGCCTTGGGGGGGAAATCTACGTTCATCTAGGTCGGGAACATTTCCGACCATGAAGGTGCCGGTTCCCCCTGACGGCCATGAGCGGCACCAGGATCGCTGCCAAGATGTGGGGGAAGCTCTGCAGGACTACTCTTGACGACGGGCACTGTGAATGCATCACGGGAATTCCGACCGCGTTGCACTTGCCAGCAAGCCCGGCCGTTCTAGCAGCTGACGAGGACGCCACGGCGATCTGCCATGGCGACGACTGCCTTGCAGAAGGCCACGAAGAGCAATTGTACGAGTTTCTACGATTCCTGATCAAGCAGTTCGAAGCCACGACCAGTGGAAGGATAGGGCGAGGACAGCCTTGACAGACGCAAGAGTTAAAGATGGCCATCGGCTCCCCTGACAGATAGCCCGAGAAAGAGAAGCCCGAATTCTTCTCGGCAGCGAGCCCGAAGCTCGTGGACTTACTTGTGCAGTGGACCCCGATGAGAGGCAGCAAACCATCGCTTACGCCAGGTACGAAGTTACAGGGCAAGGCAAGCGCAACAGTTTGGACTTATTCTCGAAGGAGCATGCCAGGCATGTGGCAGGAGCAGCTGCCGCGGCCTTGTTTATGTCTTCCCACGGGCCAGACACGATGTACGCAAGCACGACGGCGACGCAGCACGCGTCGAACCCGAACGTTCTCATTCTCTCTAGGGTACAACGCCTGGGACGGTACTACGAAGGGAAGCTTGTACTGGTATGGTGCCACCCATCCCAGAATACCCCCAGTGGACTGCGCGTCGATGGAGACGGCGACGGGGCGCCTACTTCAGAACCGCATCGGAGGTCAACAAGTGGTGGAGCAATACGATGCAGAGATCACACCTAAGATTCCCATTCACTTACCCAGCGTAAAAGTGCACTGAATTCAGGAGAGTCCGAGATGCACGCGGATGGCAGTGCTACAGATAGAGGGCTACAGCGCAATTGTTACTTCATCGAGACCCAGGGGCCCTGTGAGTTCAAGATCTGCAGTGACAGCACGATTGGACACGGCATGCGTCAGTGATTGGGCGTGGGCAAGGCGAGGCACCTTGAGTTGAGATCTCCCTGGCTTCAAGAGCGGCTGCGACTACAAGCCGAGCTACTGAAGGAGCACGCGGGCGATATGACGGCACTCATACCCACTGAGTACAGCGAGCGGCCATACATCGAGAAGCATTGCACGACTCTCAGCCAGGGTTAGAGCGCAGTGGCAGTGTTGTTCGCTGCGACGCCGACTGCAGCAGCTTCAAGAGCGACGGTCTACGAGGACGCAGAAAACTCGGTAGCGGTTGGCCACGCACCGACTCACTACCGTGATGAGGAGTTCTTGTAGTTGTTGAACGTCATTGGGGTGGTTCTCTCGGTGGCCACGCTCCTACTGGGGAGCTTCTGCGGCCGCCACGGTAAGAAGCCCTTCGGCAAGTTGCCAGGGCCTGTTCAGTACAAGGACGCGGGCACCCCCGTTCCGAAGACGCAAGAGGCGGATGCAGGAGGCGAAGCAGGCGCGCGCAGCATCGAGAAGCGCACCGCGACGGACAAAGGAGCGAGGCGCAAGTTGTCGATGACATTTCGCGCGGTGGGCACGCAAGCAGCGCTCCAAGCCAAGTGCCCACCAGCGACAGTGGCCAAGGGCGACTTGGCATCCAGGCTGATCGACATGGGCGAAACCTTGAGCGAGAGGCAGGCCAAGGACGTCGAGAGGCAGCGCGGAAGTTTATTGACGCGGCCAATCAAGAAGCGCTGGGACCGACCATGACAAGCCCTGATTGATCCACTACGGAGACATGATTGGCGGTCGCAGGGAGCAACAGGACAGGCAAGACGGCCTAACACCTAAAGTGGCGGGTAGCCCCGCACTCTGACCAATTCTACGAGTCGGACGTTGAGCCTCGTCTCGATTAGACCCGCACCAAGACTGGCTCGAGAGCGTTCGGCAGGCTGCCGATAGCGGGAAGGCGCAGCTGCATAGACAGCGACACTTGCGCAGAGGCCGCGCAAGGCCTGCCTGACCAGGAGGGTCGGACCCGCTTCCCTCGCCTAAGGAGATGCGTCGGGGAAGTTGGTGTTTCACATAAGAAGACGACGTTGTAATCAAAGCTGCTCGGGGGTGAATCCGAAAACCTCCAGCCCCTCGTTCGGCTCGCAGAAAAGAGCCCTTCTTCCTTTCCCCCGCTGCCACGGGGAATGGGGGCTCGAGCACTTGGGCACCACAAGGGGGAACGACCACGGGGTGGGAAATTTGCCCGCTGGCGCCCAATGTGCACGACATTCGCCGAGTCGCATATCGAATCGAATCCTGACCCTTGGACGGCGCATGCAGAGAGCTTGAGCCGCCAGCGGATGCGGTGGAGGAGAGAAGAAAGAGGAGGGAGGTGGAGCGAGGGGGGCGGGGAGGGGGTGGGGGGGGAGATGCGCCGTGGAAGGGGCGGGGGCGGTAGGTGTCAGGGCGAGAGCGCCTTTCGAGAATTTCGAACGCGCTGCACTTGCCAGCATGCCCGGCCACTCTAGCAGCTGGCGGGGACGCCGCGGCGATCTGCCATGGCGACGACTTCCCTGCAGGAGATCACGAAGAGCAACTGCACGAGTTTCTACGATTCCTGACCCAGCAGTTCGAAGTCACGACCAGTGGGAGGATAGGGCCAGGACAGCCTTGACAGACGCGAGAATCAAAGATGACCATCAGCTACCTGACAGATAGCCCGAGAAAGAGAAGCCCGAATTCTACTGGCCAGCGAGCCCGAAGCTCGTGGACTTACTGGCGCAGTGGAACCCGATGAAAAGGCGGCGAACCATCGTCTACGCTGGGCGCGAAGTTACGGGGCAAGGCAAGCGCAACAGTTTGGATTTATTCTCGAAGGAGCGTGCCAGGCATGTGGCAGGAGCATATGCCACGTCCTTGTATATGTCTTCCTACGGGCCAGACACGACGCACGCAAGCACGACGGCGAAGCAGCACGCGCCGAACCCGAACGCTCTCGTGCTCTATAGGGTACAACACCTGGGACGGCACTACGAAAAGAAGCTCGTACTGGCATGGTGCTACCCACTCCAGAATACCCCCAGTGGACTGCACGTCGATGGCGATGGCGATGGGGCGCCTACCCCAAAACCGCAGCGGAGGTCAACAAGTGGTGGAGCAGTACGATACGGGGATCATACTTAAGATTCCGATTCACTTACCCAGAGTTGAAGTGCACTGAAATCAGGAGAGTCCGAGATGCACGCGGATGGCAGTGCTACAGCTAGAGGGCTACACCGCAATAGTTACATCATCGAGACCCAGGGGCCCTGTGAGTCAGAGATCTGCAACGACAGCACGACTGGACACGGCATGCGTCAGCGAGTGGGCGTGGGCAAAGCAAGGCACCTTGAGTTGAGATTTCTCCGGCTTCAAGAGCGACTGCGATTACAAGCCTAGATACTGAAGGAGCACGCGGGCGAAATGACGGCACAGATACCCACGGAGTACAGCGAGCGGCCATACATCGAGAAACACTGTACGACTCTCAACCTGGGTTTGAGCGCATTGGCAGTGTTGTTCGCTGCGACGCCGACTGCAGCAGCTTCAAGAGTGACGGTCTACGAGGACAAGGAAGCTCGGTAGCGGTTGGCCACGCACCGTGATGCGGAGTTCTTGTATTTGTTGAACGCCATTGGGGTGGTTCTCTCGGCGGTCACGTTCCTACTGGGATGTTCCTGCGGCCGCCACGGTAAGAAGCCCTTCAGCAAGTTCCCAGAGCTTGTTCGGTACAAGGATGCGGGCACCCCCGCTCCAAAGGCGCAAGAGGCGGGAGCACGAGGCGAAGCAGGCGCACACAGCATAGCGAAGCGCACTACTACGTACAAATGAGCGAGGCGCAAGGTGCTGATGACGCTTTGCGTGGTGAATCCGCAAGCAGTGCTCAAAACCAAGTGCCCACCAGCGACAGTGACCAAGGGCGACTTGGTATCCAGGCTGATCGACAAGGGCGAGATCCTGAGCGGAGGCAGGCCAAGGACGTCGAGAGGCTGCGCGTGGAAGCCACGTCGCGCCGGCCAGTGCCATCATTGAACATGGGCAACTTGGGGGGGCCATGAGGCAGCGCGGAAATGGATTGACGCGGCCAATCAAGAAGCGCTGAGACCGACCTGACGGGCCCTTCTTGATCCACTACAGAGACATGATTGGTGGTCGCAGGAAGCAACACGACAGGTAAGACGGCCTAACGCTTAAAGTGGCGGGTAGCCCCGCACCCTGACCAATTCTACTAGTCGGATGTTGAGCCTCGTCTCGGTTAGACCCGCACAAAGACTGGTTCGAGAGCGTTCGGCAGGCTGCCGATTGCAGGAAGGCGCAGCTGCAAAGACAACGGCACCTGCGCAGAGGCCGCGCAAGGCTTGCCCTACCAGGAGGGTCGGACCCGCTTCCCTCGCCCAGAGAGATGTGTTGGGGAAGCTTGTGCTTCACATAGGAAGACGGCATTGTAATTAGCGCTGTTCGGGGGCGCATCCGAAGACCTCCAGCCCCTTGTTCGGCTCACAGAAAAGAGCCGCTCTTCCTTTCCCCCGCTGCCACGGGGGAGTGGGGACTCGAGCACTTGGGCACCACAAGGGGGAACGACCACGGGGTAGGACATTTGCCCGCTGGCGCCCAATATGTATGAGATTCGTCGAGTCGCATATCGAATCGAATCTTGACCTTTGGATGATATTTGCAGAGGGCTTGAGCCGCCAGCGGATGTGGTGGAGGAGAGAAAGGAAAAAGGAGGGAGGCGGAGAGGGGGGGATGGGGAGGGGGGGAAGAGAGAGAGAGAGAGAGAGAGATTTGCTGCAGAAGGGGCGGGGGTGGTAGGCGTCAGGGCGGGAGCGCCTTTCGGGACGATGCGCTCCGAGTTGAAAGAGGCACACACGACATGAAACCGTTTGAAATCCTGGCCGCGGGGGAAAAATGGCCGGACGCGGAGTGCACCAGTGATGGACTGTTGTGAGGGGGGGGGAACGGACAGGGGATGTGGCAGGGCAGAAGGGCGGAGGGAAGGGGGTGAAAAGGAGCAGGAGGAGGAGGAGGAGGAGGAGGAGGAGGAGGAGGGACAGGAGGACAGGAGGAGGAGGAGCAGCAGCAGCAGCAGCAGGTGCAGCAGCAGCAGCAAGAGAGGGCGCTGGAGCGGGAGCAGGACCAGGAGGAGTGGGAGGACTAGGTGGCGGAGGAAGGGAATTGGGAGCGGAGGGAGGGGGAGGGGCCTCAGGGGCCCTGCGCGGGGAGGGCTCGGAAGCATGCCGCGCTCAGGCCGTGGCGGTCACCATCGACGCCATCCTCAACGGCCGCTACGGCAGCCCGCCGTGCACCCCGAGGGGCCGCATCGTGTGCGAGATGCTGGACCCGCAGGCTCCTCCTCAGTCCTCCTCCGCCTCGTTGCTGCCGCTGCTCACTGCCCCCATCCAGAGACAGAACGAGGGTTGCGGGCCCACAGTCGTGTCGTATCTTATCTTTCCTCGGTTACAGTGTTCGCTGGTGCTCACGTACAGGGGTCGGCAGCGGAGGTGATGACAGCGGCGACAGTGATTGGAGCCACGCTTGTGGCATCGCAGCGTGTTCCAGCACGACACCTCCCCACCCCCGTCCTTCCTCACTTTCTGTCCCTCTCTCTCTCGTCACTCCTCATCCTTCCTCTGACCCTCCCCCCCTCTCCACCACATCCTTCTCTTTGTCGCTCGTCGCCCCCCTGCCTCCCACGTCCCTCCACCATCACTCCTTTCTCTCCGCACTCAACGTCATCCCGTTTCCCTCATCGCACACCTCCCTTATCATCCACACCTTTTTTCTGATTTTCCCCACTGCACCCCCTTCCGTCTCCCTCATCCCCCCTCCACTCTGTCCTCCCTTGTCCGCTTATCCATCCTTCATCATCTCTCCTCTCCTCTCTCTCTCTCTCTCTCTCTCTCTCTATTCCATGATTCTCTTCCGACGCCGTCACCCGTCACCCATCTTCCCCCCGCCTTTCCCCAACCTCCCGCTTGTCCTCAGCATGTCCCTTTTCTGTTTTGGTTGCCACCCTCGACTTACCTGGTGCTAGCTCCGATCAGGCGGAAGTGTTGATCAAGCGGAACGAGGCCCTCCGCGACAAGTTCACGTTCTTCCAGAGTCGCCGGCTGCCAACGACACCGCCAACGACACTGCCAACATATACAGACGTATTCATCAGACAATGCATGTCCTCCCCTTCTTGGTAACACTCCGCATGTTTTATCAATTTCATAGGGTATTGCTCTATGCCTCCTCCTTGTGCTTCTCCCGCTCTTGCTCTCTCTCTCTCTCTCTCTCTTTCTCTCCCCCCTCTCTCTCTTTCTCTCTCTCTCTCTCTCTCTCTCTCTCTCTCTCTCCCTCTCTCTCTCTCTCTCTTTGTTTCTCTCTCTATCTCTCTCTCTCTCTTTCTCTCTCTCTCTCTCTCTCTCTCTCTCTCTCTCTCTCTCTATATATATATAATTGTTGATTGGTTCTCTCTCTCTCTCTCTCTCTGTATACATTTCCCTAGCGGTGCCTGCATTTAGGGTATCGTACTTGTGTTCCTAATGGATTGGGTGGGTCTGGCGAGGTTTCGCCACGTGGCCGCCCGTTGCCGCCTCGTGCGCTTGTCAGGTCTGGCAAGGTTTCGCCACGCTGCTGCCCGTTGCCGCCTTGTTGCCGCCTCGTTGCCGCCTCGTTGCCGACGCGTTGCCGCACGGTGCGCTGGGTGGGCCTGGCGAGGTTTCGCCACGCTTCCGCCCGTTGCCGCCTTGCTGCCGCTTCGCTGCCGCCTCGTGCGCTGGGTGGGTCCTCGTGCGCTGGGTGGGTCTGGCGAAGTTTCGCCACGCTGCCGCCCGTTGCCAACTCGTTGCCGCCCCGTGCGTACCCTGGTGCGCTAGGTGGGTCTGGCGAGGCTTCGCCACGTCGCCGCCCACTGCCACCTCGTCACCGTCTCGTGCGTGGATGAGTCCAGTGAGGTTTCGCCACGTTGCCGCCCGTTTGCCGCCTCCTGCGCCGTCTCGTGCCTCGCGCGCTGGGTGTGTCTGGCGGGGTTTCGCCACGTTGCCGCCCGGTGCCACCTCGTGCGCTGTCTCGTGCGATTGGTGGGTTCTGGCGAGGTTTCGCCACGTTGCCGCCTTGTTGCCGCCTCGTTGCCACCTCGCTGCCGCCTGGTTGCCGCCTTGTTGCCAACTGGTGCGCTTTGTAGGCCTGGCGAGGTTTCGCCATGTTGCCGCCTCGTTGCCGCCTCGGGCGCTGCCTCGTGCGAGGTTTCGCCATGTCGCCGCCCGTTGCCGCATCCTGCGCTATCTCGTGAGCCGGGTGGGTCTGGCGAGGTTTCGCCACGCTGCCACCCGTTACTGCTTCGTCGCCGCCTCCTAGCTCGCACCACGTATTCTGCACACCACACAGCTTGAATCGCAGCGCACACATCCACAGTGCAATAGTTTATTGCTCGGGGTCCGCCCCGGCTAACACACTCACACTCATTCATTCATTCATTCATACATACATACATGCATGCATGCATGCATTCATACATACATACATGTATCCATATACATATATAAATATATATATATATATAAATATATATATATATATATGTCGGTGTACATACAACGGGGGACCGAGTCCAGGGGCCCCGGGCGGGAACCCCGACGCTTCTGAGAGCCACCAGACAGCCATCACGGCGTCCCACGACGGCCCTGAGTCACCCTCACGACGCCCTCCAGGGGCCTCTGACGGCCCAAGATGCGCCTCAAACATCCCAAGAGGTGTCCACGACGCTTCCAGACCGCTCCAAGTGGACCCTCCAGAGGGCCCCGAGAAGCAACACTCGTCCCATTCCCTCAGGGAAACTTTACTTTTAGCCTCTTCGCCTTTCTTGTTTCAACACGGTCGAAGACGATCCCATAGGTCTCCAATCGATCCAAGTCTGCCCGAGAGGCCCCCTAGACGGCCCAATAGGGCCCCAAAATGGGCCAACAAGCCCCGAAGACGCCCAAGAGGGCCCCAAGGTGGACCCACAAGGGGGACCCCGAGCTGTCATTTCGAGCCCTCTACCCAAAGATGACCCCCAAAAGACCCCCGACAGGCACCAATTCGTGTTGGAACCGCTGTCAAGGCCATCCACCAAAGCTCCATGGCACGGTCGTTGATAGAATTGGTGATTGAGAAACCTCCTCCTGGAAAGCTGGGCCAGCGTTCCGCCACCAGCTTGCCGGAAAGCTGCCCCAGCTTCCTGAGCGCACTCGCCCCTCCCAGCGTCCCCACGAACCCCTGGCCCTGGGCGCGCCTCGAGAAGCTCCCGGAAAAAGCCGGCCCGGGCTTCCTGAACGAGGAGCTCTCTTGAGGCTGTACTGTTCGGTTGTATTGGGCCGTCGTCGCGCTCCTCCTCCTCCTCCTCCTCCTCCTCCTCCTCCTCCTCCTCCTCCTCCTCCTCCTCCTCCTCATCATCATCATCATCATCATCATCATCATCATCATCATCATCATCATCACTATCATCATCCTCACCCTCATCCTCCTCCTCATCGTCCTCCTCCTCCTCCTCCTCCTCCTTCTCCTCCACCTTGGGGGGCCGTCTTGCGGCAAGCCCGCCGGACCGCCGACCACGACGCCAGCGGCCGCGTGGCCCGCCCCTGCTCGCCCGCCAGAGATGGTCGTGCCTCCGGGCGCGGCCGGCCATGGTGGTGGCGGGACCCGGCGGGGGGGGGGCCGTGCCCCGGCACGGTCGCTGTGGCGCCCAGGGCCTTCCCGCCCGCCGTGGGGGGGGCGGGTCTCGAGGGGAGCGGTGCCCGAGGCGCTTCGCTGCGTGTTGGGCTTCCCGGGGCCCTCCACGGGCCCCGGGGCTGTCAGAAGACGACTCGGGGAGGAAGGCCTCGGGGGGAAGGCCCCAGGGTCCAGGACCCGTTTCCCTCCGGACGCGTTTCCCCCATGCTGAGGCGACCGTGCCCTCTGGCACGGTCGTTGGCGCCTGGGTCCTGTCGCCTCTGCGGCGTGAGGGGAGGCCTTGGTTTCCCCAAGCGCCAGCGCTTTCTGCTTTTGATGTTTCTGCTGTTCCTCCTGTGGTGGAGCCAGCCAGACTTGTGAGATGTCGTTCACCATTGTTCCCTACAGTCGAGCATTTGATCAAGAAACCTCTCCCCCTACAGTTGAGACAACGTTTCTTAACCAATCTGCCAGAGCGCTGGCCGGCCCAGGTTCTTGAGCAGTCTCGCCTTTCCAGCGTCCACAGCAAAAATTGTCCCAGGTCTGTTTTAACACACTTCTGGGAAGCTGGTCCAGACTTCTTTCAGAATGATGATATTGATCCTATTTCCGGCGATAGGTGGGCGCGATCCACACCCCACGCGAGCGCTCGCGGCATGGCGCGCTGCTCCATATGGCGGCCCGCCGCGTCTACCCCCGTTCTGCCGCGCATCCCTTGGGCCCCACACACCAAGAGCGATTCGAACTCCAGGCACAGCCTATACACTGAAGTGGAGTTGCGCGCGGCGCGTGTAGCCGCGGCGGCGGACAGACTTCTGTCCGAAGTGATGTTTTCGCTCTGCTATGTTTTGCTCTCTCTCTCTCTCTCTCTCTCGTGTTTCTGTTCGTTATCTTTATACATATAGTTTATGTGTGTGCGATGTATGTATATATGTACGCACGTATGTATGTATGGATGTATGTATGTATATATGGATGCATGTATGTTTGTATGTATGCATGTATGTATGTGTGCAAGTGTGTATGTGTGTATGTGTGTATGTGTGTATGTATGTATGTATGTATGTATGTATGTATGTATGTATGTATGTATGTGTGTATGTGTGTATGTGTGTATGTGTATGCATGTATGTATGTATGTGTATGTATGTATTTCTGTATGTGTATACGTATGTATGTGTGTATGTACGTATGCATGTGTGTACGTACGTACGTACGTATGTATGTGTGTATGGATGTGTGTATGTATGTGCGTGTGTGTATGTATGTGTACACATGCATGCATGCACGTACGCGTGTATGCATGTGTGCATGTATGTATGTATGTATGTATGTATGTATGTATGTATGTATGTATGTATGCATGTGTGTATGTGTGTATGTGTGTATGTATGTATGTATGTATGTATGAATGAATGAATGTATGCATGTATGGATGTATGTATGTATATACGTATAGATAGATACGCATGCGCCTTTCTCACTCATTGCTTCGAGCTTTTTTTATCCTCATGCCCCATCCTCCCCATTCCGCTTGTCATCGTATTCCTCCTCGTGTTCATCATGCATCTCAATACATCTTCAGCACACCACGTGTTGCCATCCCACTCCCGCGCTCCGTCAGAGGGGGAGATACAGCAATAGAACATGGAGGAGGAGGAAGAAGGGGTATACGTGAACGAGGAAAAGGGGCAAGAAGAGAAGGATGATGAGTGGAAGGAGGAGGAGGAGGGGGAGGAGGAGGAGCAGAAGAAGGAGGGGGAGATGGCAGCGGCGTTTACCAATCCGGTTTGACCTGTTGGCTCTTTCTTTTGATTCCCCCAATGATACTTATTTTCCCCCAGCTCATCCTGCTGTCGATGTTTCCCATCCTTGACATAATCGTCCCCTTCGTCACCTTCTCATCGTTCTCATCCTGCTTCTGCCCATGCTGCCCCCCAGCCCTCCCTCGCCCCGTTTTCTCCCTCCTCCCTCCTCTTCACCCTCCTCCTCATCCTCTTCCGTAATCCTGCCGTCCGTTGTTTCGGCCTGTCCGACTCAACAATCACGGCTGGAGTTCTGGTAGTAAGCCACGCGTCGGCGGCAAGATCTAGGGAGTTCTGTTAGGACTGCGGGCTAAGGCTATGCCTCGCATACCCAACTTGCTCGCGGTCCGCTGTTTCGGCCAGCCCGACTCAACAGCCACGGCAGGATTCCTGGCATCCGCCGCGCCGCACCTGTTTCGGCTAGGGCCTTCCGCACTGGAACTCTGCCAGGACTGTGGGCGAAGGCCGTGCTTCGCACGCCCACCTAGCCTGCGGTCCGTTTTGTTTCGGCCTGTCCGACTCAACAATCACGGCTGGAGTTCTGGTAGCAAGCCACACGTAGGTAGGCAAGGTCTGGCAATGCCAACCATATCCGCCTTGCTTGCTCCAGCACTACCCCGTCTCGCCCCCCCTCCGGGGACGTCCAGACCGTTACGCCCGGTCGTCCCCTCTCCTCCTTCTTCTCGTCCTCCCACTGCCCGTCCCAACCTGAGGCCCTAAACCATTCAATCCCGCTCCCTCTTCCGCCCCCCCGCCCTTAGGGATGGATACATCGCGCTTGCGCAGCCTGGTCTTGTATACCCAGCTGCGCGTTCTTGCATCTAGCTGTTTATACCCAGCTGTGCGGTCCTCATCGCCTCCTCCACGCGAGTCCTGGCATCCAGGTAACTCGGCGACATTATGCTGCATGTGCTGAGGCCTCCCGGGGGGAAGCAGTCCCGAGGGGATCCCTTGTAGCCGGACCCGCTGACCCACATCATCATCCTCATCGTTCTTGCGCCTCCTCAAGGCCAGGCTTCCCAATCTCACTCCCTTGGTTGGAAAATTGTGCATTTTCTGCCGTACCAGTTAGATTGCCAATCACGGCATCACTTCATAGCGTCCGGGTCGTCTCCTCGTGCTTCGCAAGTACTGCGATGCCCTGCTGTGGGGTAGCCCTAGGGGATGTGAATGTTCGGGCCTAGCCAGAATGTCTGGGCGAACAAATCCTGACCCCCCAGGTGCATAATAGTTTCGGCCACGTTCGCTTGACAGCCTTCGGCGCAGGGAGTGGCGTTGCCACCACCCGGACCACTGAGCTGCCGCACCGAATCCGTGACACGCTGGCGCATCGAGTCCGCGACACGAACGCTGTCTTCGAACCCGGCCGACAGAACTTGGTCATATTTTGTTGCGGCCACCGTAGGCGGATGAACGTCCAGACCGTTACGTTCTGTCATCCTCTCTCCTCCTCCCTCCTTTCCCCTGCTCGTCCCAACCTGAGTCCCTATTGTACTCGACTCACTCCCGCTTCCGCTTCTGTATCCCCGTCCCTCGGGATGGATACATCGCGCTTACGTTGCCTGGACAGAGAGAGAGAGAGTGAGAGAGAGAGAGAGATGGCAATGCAACCCGCCAGAGCCGGGCAATAATTGTCACAGGTAACTCCCCCCACATGCTCTTCCACTTCGCCGGGCACAGGGCTCTTGATTTGCGGCTGCTAGCCAGGGCGGGCCCTCGTTAGCAACCCCCTGGAACAGGCTGCGAGTTGGGGCTTCCCCAAGCAATGGGTGTCCCCCATTGGCAGTTCCTCATAGCGCCCAGCGCCCTGGCGGGACTGTTCAATGGCGGCCCGCTCGCTGACCTGGCAGTTTGGTCAGTGATCCTCTTCCGTAATCCTCATATGAATTTCCTTCGTTCGTGCTACCTTCGTTCGCATCATGTTTATCATGTTCGATTGGCTTTTCTTGTTCATCGAGCTAATGCTGCTCATCGTGTGGCTGTTGATCATAATCCGGCTTTTCTTTCCGCCCTATATACTCCTCGTTCTCCCCGTCTTTTGCCGCCTCTTCCGCATTGTGTTTCTTTTCTCCGACCTCTCCTGCCCCCCCTTCGCCTCACTTCCCGCGCTTAGCCCCCGCCCCCATCCCTTATCCCCTGCACTGTCCTGCCCCTCGTCCTGCTCCCACTCTCAGGGTACGCAGCGTCAGGCAATGCAGTCATGACCAGCCTGTTCACCATGGCTGCGTACGACCCGCAGATTTTCAACTGCTTGGTGCTCATGTCTTGGGCCCAGCGTCTCGTCAGGGATTCGGCAGGCCAGAGTCCGATGCCAGATCGGGGGGTGCGCGCAGGGCTGCGGGGGAAGGCGGTGGAGCAAAGGAGGAAGGGGAGAGAGAGGAGGGGGAGCCGAGAGGGAAGGGAGGGCGAAGGGGAGGGCGTAAGGGCCAGGAGCAGGAACAGGAGGAGGGAGGAGGAGGATGAGGAACAGGATGCGGCGGAGGAGAGGGGGGAGGAGGAGGAGGAGGAGGAGAAGGAGGAGGAGGAGGAGGAGGAGGAGGTCGGCAGCCATTTGGGCTCAAGCTGGCCCAAGCCATTTTAGCCCGAGCCTGGCTCGGCCCGAGCCCGGAGTGTGAACAACGTTATACGCAACTACACGTCGTGCAACGTTCCTACGTATCTTGGTTGTCTGGCGTGTCTGGTGCCGTTTTTCGCCTGAGAAGGTACAGAGGAGGAGCAGGAGAGGAAGGGAGGAGGGGAAAGGAGGAGGAGGAGGAGGAGGAGGACAAGGAGGAGGGGGAGCAGGAGGAGGAGGAGGAGGAAGAGGAGGAGGAGGATGAGGAGGAGGAGGAGGAGGAGGAGGGAGGAGGGAGGAGGAGGACGACGAGGAGGAGAAGGAGGAGGAAGGAGGAGGAGGAGGAGGAAGATGGCCAGAGAAAAACCCTGGGTGCGTCAACGGCGCTGCCCCCTCGCCATTGGTCCCTGCCAGCTGCCAGTCCCGCTGCGCGAAACGCCCCCCTTGCAACGCGAGCAGCCCAGGGGCCCACGACTCAGGAGGGACCTCCAGTGTGAGCTCTATCCTTCTATCTGCAGGGAAGCCCCGACCCCCTCGGGCAGTGAAAAAGTCATGACGGAAGGTGTTTTGCTCTTCTCAGCCCCTGGGGGCCCTGACCGGCCTTCGGGGCCGTCAAAAAACGGCTCAGGATGAAAAGCCGGTCTCGGGGAGTGGGTCGAGACCCTTGGGGGCCGACGTGATGAAAAAAAATCATGACGTCGGGGGCCTGGGAGGCGACAAGCCCTCCCTATCGCTGGCCTTCTGTCCTTCGAGCTATAGGGACGGCGACGAGGTGGGCGAGGTCTGAACGTGCCAGGAAGTCCTGGCGACAGCCCCGCTGTGAACAGGGACCGCTCTTCGTCCGTGCAACTGTTTCACAGGTCGAGGCGCCGTGCCGTAGAGCGTAAACAGATCCATATGTGTGTGCTAGTCAGCGCAGCGGAAGTCTTGCGCGAAAGGCCCATGCTGACAGGAGCCACCTTCCGTCCGTGCAAGGGGTCCACAAATCTGGATCTGCACGTACGGCAACCAGCGCAGGTGGAGTCGCACGCGAGGGCCCCAGCTTCAGCAGAAGCTGAACTCAGTCAGTCCAGATGCCGGCACTGCTCAGGTCGAGCACACGCTGCTCTCAACGAAGAACCCAACTGGGAGAACGGCCGGCCCCCCATCCGTGCAGCCGTAGCTGCTTGAGACGAGCGCGCGCGGCGCAGACGCAGGCGAGAGCGGTACAGTTTGAACTCCGTTCGCCTCTCTTGGTGCGCGGCTGTCGGGTGTGCTGCAGACGAGCGTGCGCGCCGCCCAGGCGAGAGCCCCGTTTTGAAAATGAGCCGCTCGGTGGCCCCGAGCTGGAAGACCTTGAAGCGGACAGGACGTTTCGGGCGAAACGCCCAGCCCGCCCTGGGGAGACACATGGTGGTCCGACCCGGAGGAGTTGTTCACAGTGGAGACGCATGCCAAGAAGCACCCTGTTCGCCCCCAGGGTGCCCCCAGTGTCTTGGGTGTCGGTGGTGTTGCTATGGAAAGCGTGGCGCTCCCACACCATAAATCAGTGGACGTCCTGGGGTCTCAGGGTTGGGTTTCGTGTGGAGGGGTTCTTGCGGTCGGGCCCCTGCTGTAGAAGGAAGAGAAGATGGAGGAGGGGAGGGGGGGGGAGGTCAGGCAGGTGAGGAGAGGAGAGGCGAGGTAAGGAGGGGCGAGGTAGGGAGGCGGAGGAGGGGGCGGGTTCTGGAGGGAGGGAGCCAGGAATGGGAGAGGGGGAACGGGACAGGGCGGCCAGGAGACAGGCGGAAGGCCTCCATCCGCGCACAGGGTGCGCACCCTTTGCAGCTTCGGCTCGTCGAATTTGTTTTGGGAAGTCTCAAGCGACACCCCATCCTTGTAGCTGCTGGGAACATTTAAGTCGAGGCGCGCACCAGTTGCAGCTTCGGCTCATCGAATCTTCTGGGAAGTCCCAAGCGACAGCCGCATCTTGACAACGAGCCAGCATCCATCCTTGCAGCTGCTGGGAACGTTCACAATGAACGTGCGTGGCGCCAAGGCGAGAGCCGCCTCTTGGAAACCGCTGGCCCACCGTCCTTGTCATTGCTGGAAGGTGTCAAAACAAATGTGCACGGCGCGGAGGTGAGAGCCGCCTTTTTGAAAAGATCGGCTTTCCATCCTTGTAACAAATACAAGATTAGCTTCGGGGTGAAAGTTACCAAGTAACCTGAGTCTCGAGCGAGACACCCGGCCCGGCCTACGGACAGGGCTGGCGGTGCGACAGGGAAGATGTTATTCGCAAGGAAGAAGGGGTGAGGAGGAGGAGAAGTATGGGAGAGGAGGAACAGGAGGAGGAGAAAGCAGAAGGAGATGGAGGTCGAGGGAAAGGAAAAAAGAAGCAGAAGGAGGAGGAGGAGGAGAAGGAGGAGGTGGGGGGAAGGACTGAAATAAGCGGGAGGAGTGGAGGATGAGGAGAAAGGAAGAAGACGAGAAGGAGGGAAGGAGAAGAAAGATAGAGCGGGGGGCAGGAGGATTGGGGGCAGAATGAGGCTGATCAAATCGCGGTTGTTTCCTTTGACAGCACCAGGGACGTGCCGGCTTCCCAACGACGGATGACGAGGCGGTATTGTTTGGCGAAGGGTTCCCTCTCCCGCCGCCATCTGCCCCTTTCTCTGCCCCGTTCTCCCCGCCTCCGCTCCAACTCCCATCCATCCATCACTCCTCCTCCTCCTCCTCCTCCTCCTCCTCCCTCCTTTTCCTCCTTCCTCCTTCCTCCTGCCTCCTACCGCCTTCCTGATCATCAATCTCTCTCCACCGACTCCCTCCTCCTCCTCCTTTCTCCCCCTCCTCCTCTCCTACCTCCCCCTCCTCCTTCTCCTCCTCCTCCTCCTCCTCCTCCTCCTCCTCCTCCTCCTCCTCCTCCTCCAGCTGTCGCCGCGGCCACCGTGGCCTGCGGCGGCGGCGTGGAGCGAGGAGAAGGCGGCGGCGGCGGTGGCCGCCGCTGGGGGCGCGACGACCTCAGCGGCAAGGTAGCGTACCTCCTCGCGGCCTGCCGCGCGGGAGCAGCGCGTGGTGGGGGCGGGGAAGGCGGGCCATGTCGGCCCAACAGCCCTCCCCGCCCCGCTGGATCCGCCTCGGCGTCTGGTCGGGAGGGCTCCGCAGTGGCCCCCGCCTGTCCTCCTGGGGCGCCGCGGTCGCCTGGCCCTCGGGCCTGAGCGGCTGGGCTGCACGAACGGACACTATGCGTAGTGCCAGTGCGTGCGTCCCGCGGTTTCGGGGTCCCTCGTCGCCTGTCCCTCGGGGCGGTGGCGCGGGCGGGATCGGGCACGACGCGTCCCCTCC